GGGAGGCAGGGCTCACAGCAGGGCTGAGTGCAGGTGGTGAGGTTGATGGTCTCTAGACCCGGGGTGGGCTGGCAGGAGTTGAGCAGGAAGCAGGTGGGCACACAGGGCTGAGGAATGTGGCAGGGTGGGGGGCAGTTGTCACAGCAGGTGGGCCCCAGTAACCAAGTGGTGTGTGGGCAGGTGCTGGGCAGGCAGACTCCGCAGCGGCAGCATTTGTCCGAGGAGCAGATGGTGGTGGCGGGGCCAGTGGGGACGCTGCAGCAGCAGGGAGTACAGCAAGCCATGGCGGTGGGACTCTGTGATTTTTATTGGTTTGGTTTCAAGACAAATGAGGTTTCTGAGACACGAAGGTCTTCTTGCTCTGGGGTTCTTATATACCCTCCCCAATGGGTGTTGTCTAACCAGAAGGCTTCTTTCCTGGTTCTTGTTTATGTTAATGTGACCATTATCCTTTGACATGTAGATGCTTGTAAATAGTTTCTATTCTAATTAACCTTTATGTGAGTTCCTGGCTAATTCTGAGCTGATTACTCTTGCTGTTTGTCATGGGAACAGAAGCTTTAATAGGTATCACCAAAGCCTTCTGCTATTATAAGTCCAACACAGCCCTGCTGGGGAATATTGCATCATAGTACCCCTGTAGTCTAGTGCTGGTCAGTTTTTATTCTCCTCATCTTTATCTGCATCAATTGATCTGATGAAGTATTCGTTGACCTATGAACCAGGAGATCAGGGTTTGATTCCCAGTCAGGGCACATGCCCGGGTTGTGAGCTCCATCCCCAACAGTGTAGGGTGTGCAGGAGGCAGCCGATCAATGATTCTCTCTCATCATTGATGTTTTTCTCTCTCTCTCCCGAGGTCCTTCCTCTCTGAAATCAATTAAAAAAATAGACACCATCCTTGTTCTCATGGAACTTAGAGTCTGATGGAACTTAGAGTCTGATAGAAGGTCTATCACACACATAAGATATTATTATAAATTATTATTGTTATACATTTTGATACAACAAAAGAAGACTAGATTCTAAGAGCAGAAAAACAATAAGCAGAAGGAAATTATTTTGAAATTTTTAAGAAAAACATTACAAAGGGGCTTGCAGACTTCCACAACTAGAATTTCATGGTAGAAAGATATCAATCTCTTATTTAGAATACAGTGTGGCTTTGAGTCAGAATTGTAAGGATAAAGGAATTGTTATTGTTCTGTGTAAAGTATTGACTTAAGGATACACATTAGCAATAGTTGTAAAATAAGTTTATAGTAATAAATTCATCTCTTTTATTGAAAAGACTTGCAATAGTTTATTAAAATTTATTTTCTCTGCAGTGGTCAAGAGACCTGAGAATTACTTGCCTCTGTTTCCACATTAGGGTAGTGAGTTAAAGAGAAGTGAGGTAATTTGCCTTAGGTGGTCTGGTGACTGACTTGTTAAACACTAAATATAGGACCTATAAGGATTGAGCTACTTTTATGTGGTTTAAAATTAAGTGTACAGTATGTGTCAGAGATACTAAATGTACTTTATTTTTAGAAACAAAGGGTATCTTTTTTCCTTTAAGCAAATGTGGGAAAACCATGATGACTCCTGATTAGATGGTAGATTTTCGAAGTGCTAAAACTCTACACACACACACACACACACACACACACACACACACACACACCCTCACACACCCTGGAACGTGCCCAGTTTTAAGTATGCCATTCTACAAGCAATGGGGGCATCTGTGACAGTGAAAGCAAAAATTAAAGATTGACAATAAAAAAGAAACAAGTAAAATATGACTGTTAGTCTCTTGCTTCAAATCTCTCATTGCTTTGAGGTTTTCATCTAGACCCCTTCCTCTGGGGAGCCATCACCCCAGGGCCTTTGCATTTCTTCTCTCCTGCTCGCCTCATCCTCTTCTCCCCATGGTCAATACATCCATGAGTTACTAAGCTGCTGTTCTGTCTGGAACAACTGCTCCCCACCCCTCTGCCTTGTCATCTTGTAATGCTCAAGCCTGGATACCTCGGAGCTTTCCATAACCGTCCCTCACCCTGATACTGAATCACCAAATCTGGGCCTTAGTTACTCTGTGTGCATGTTTGCATGCCTGCTGCTCACAGCAGAAATCACAGCATTATAATTATATTCACTCAGCATATATAGAGCACGTAAATCATGTTTATAATACCTTCCTCAGATTTGAGAGAAACTTGAGGGCACCTTAGGTAATCACATTTCTTTTATCTTTATACTTCTAGCATGGATAGGGTTCCTAGCACAGGGGAGGCACTCAAGAAATACTGGCCACAGGAGTGAGTAAATGGACTAAATCCCTTGTTGACTTGTGTCCTGGGTTGTGTCCCCTCTACCTCATGGCTTCTAAGTTCTGTTCATTGAAAGATGTGCTATTAACATGCTGTGGGATCCTCTGAGAAATTCTCTGGAGAGACTGACAGGCACACTGGGGACATTTAATTTTTCACTTTTTAAAATATTTTTAAATTTTTTCAATTATAGTTGATGTACAATATTATATTAGTTTCAGGTGTACAACCGAGTAATGAGACATTTATATAACTTGCAAAATCATCAATAAATCTAGTGCCCATCTGGCACCATACATAGTTATTACAATATTACTGACTATATACTATACATCCTCATGACCATTTTGTAACTACCAATTTGTGCTTCTTAATTCCTTCACCTTTTTCACCCAGTCACCCAAAATCCTCTCCCCTGACAACTGTCAAGTTGTTTTCTGTATCTGTGAATCTGTTTTTGTTTTGTTCATTTATTTTGTTATTTTGATTGGCACATGAATGAAATCACGGTATTTGTCTTTCTCTGTCTGACTTAGCTCACTCAGCACAATACCCTCTAGGTCCACCCATGTTGTCACAAATGGCAAGATTTCATTCTTTCTCGTAGCCTCGCAATATTCCGTTGTAAATATGTGCCACTTCTTTATCTATGCATTTATTTTTGGCTACTTAGGTTGCTTCCGTATCTTGGCTATTGTAAATAATGGTGTAATGCACATATGGATGCATATGTCTTTTTGAATTAGTTTTTGGGTTTATCCAGATAAATACCCAGAAGGGAATTGCTGGGTCCTTCTTTGTCTCTTGTTATAGCCTTTGTTTTAAAGTCTATTTTGTCTGGTATAAGTATTGCTACCCATGCTTTTTTCCCCCCCTTTTCATGAAATATTTTTTTCCATCCCTTTACTTCCAGTCTGTGTGTCTTTCTGTCTGAAGTGAGTTTCTTGTAGACATGCTAGCATATGTGTGGATCTTGTGTTCTTATCCATTCAGCCACTCTATGTCTTTTGATTGGAGCATTTAATCAATTTGCATTTAAAGAATTGTTGATAGATATGTATTTATTGCCTCCTCCTCCTCCTCCTCCTCCTCCTCCTCCTCCTCCTCCTCCTCCTCCTCCTCCTCCTCCTTTTCCTCTTCCTCCTCCTCCTCCTCCTCCTCCTCCTCCTCCTCCTCCTCCTCCTCCTCCTCCTCCTCCTCCTCCTCCCCCTCTTTCTCCTCTCCATCTCTTTCCCCCTCCCCCCTCTTCTCTTCCTCCTCCTTCCCTGTTCTGGGGAGTCTGGTGTAGGGCTGGGACTCCACACTACTCAGGGGGGACCTCTATAACTGAGAATTCCTCCTGGTTTTAAATGGCCACACATGGGTGTGGGGCCAGCTACTTCCAAGTTTCAGCTCCCCCCCCCCCCCCCCCCCGCCTATCCCCATGTGGCTTCTTCTGTATATCCTTAGTTATAAGACTTCTGTTCAGCTAGACTTTGGGTGGTTCTCAATGATGGTTGTTCTGTAGTTCAGTTATAATTTTGATGTAGTTGTGGGAGGATGTGAGTACCCCATTTACCTACTCTGCCATCTTGACCAGGACATTTAAAAACATGCTTAATTAAAGGCATTTGCTTCCCCCTGTCCTTGCCCTACCTTTTTCTTTTTCACATATACCGTTTTGGTTTAGTTCATTGCTTTTTCAGATTTTGACTTGTGCTTTTATATATGTTACAAATATTATACATGTAATATTATATATAATATGCCATATTACATATATAAAACATGTTGTATATGTAATATTATATATATAATGCATATGATCTCTTAAGGCTGGGAAAAGGATCATCTACATGAGAAAAATTAAGCAGGTTGGTAAAATGAAGTAGTCAATTAAATCATGTTTAATCAGGATTTTAGCTCTAGTTCTCAGTTTATCACCTGAAAAGTACTGGTATTGGCATTGTATTGATTACTGGGGTAGACCTCTGTGCTGAGGATGGTGGGAGGTAGAGAGCTATATTCCTAGTGCCCTGCTACTAGAGTGACCACTTGATGTTCTTCCTAAGGAAAAATGAAGTCAAAATTGATAGGACCACTAAATGACCCAGATCTTAGAATTGAGTAGCTGTCATTTTTAATCTATGAGCCAATCTATCTTTTTCTATTACAATTGGATATGGTGATTTTGTTAAGATTCTTATACTTTTTATTTCTCGTGCATATTTTAAGTTAATGTCATAACTCTTCATTAAGCTTCTGGCTCTTTTAGTATTGGAGGCTCTGTGATGTGGTAGAAATAATTGGCCTTTAAAGGCACACGTGCAAGGAACTGAATTCTGGTTTTCTTAGTAACCAACTTGATGACTCTGAGAATGTTGAATAACTCTTAAAGCTACATTTTTCTCATCTGCTAGTGCTATTTTAAAGATTACATGAGTTAATACATGTAATTTACCTAGCAAAGGATAGGTAAATAAATGTTGGCTCACCCCCAAAATTGTATTTTTCTGAGTAAGAGGAGAGAGAAGGTGAACATAAAAGATTACCAATTAAAAGTTAGCAAGCCATGTTAGTAAGCTTGTTTCAGTCCTTCCTATCTAATAGATTCTTTTAAAAATAACAAAATAATCATCTTACTTTTACCTTCTTAAAAACATGAAACAATATATATACAAAACAAATAACACATATTGCCAGAGAAACAAAGTTTATTGGAAAACCCATTATGAATTTTTTTTCCCTTTATGAAAATATCCAAGACAAGAAATGGAATCCAGGAAGCAAATGACCAAGAAAATATTGAAGTCTTACAGATTTTAATGTCCTTTGATAATAGATGATATTCACCTGCCCAAATGAACCCAATGATTATCCAGCCAAATAACCAGAACAATTTTTAAATTTTTCTTTCCATTAAAACGAAAGGTAGGTTTTCCATATTTGTGCCCTCTGGTCTGCCTCGACATCTGGTAAACTACCGAGGCAAGTGAATACTGAACAGAGAGCTTCTGGGTTCTTCATCATCAGGCACTGAGGGAAGCGGCCCTCATCAGCAGCAGCTTGGGAGGCAGGGCTCACAGCAGGGCTGAGTGCAGGTGGTGAGGTTGATGGTCTCCAGACCCGGGGTGGGCTGGCAGGAGTTGAGCAGGAAGCAGGTGGGCACACAGGGCTGAGGAATGTGGCAGGGTGGGGGGCAGTTGTCACAGCAGGTGGGCCCCAGTAACCAAGTGGTGTGTGGGCAGGTGCTGGGCAGGCAGACTCCGCAGCGGCAGCATTTGTCCGAGGAGCAGATGGTGGTGGCGGGGCCGGTGGGGACGCTGCAGCAGCAGGGAGCACAGCAAGCCATGGCGGTGGGAAGCCGGGGTGCTTTCGGTTTTTCCGAAAAGAGAGATGAGGTTTCTGAGACGCAAATGTCTCCACTGGCTTTGGGGCTCTTATATACTCTCCCCAAGGGGCGTTGGCCCAACCAGAAGGCTTCCTCATCTTGTTTATGCCACTCTTTTCCACTAAGATTCTCTAATCAGTTTGGTATTTACTTGTCCATTAAGAGTTCTTACCCTTATTAAAGTAATCACCTTTTTTACTCATAGACTTGCCATTTTTGTCATGAGATGATTACATTTTGCCTTCACTGGGTCCTGGCATGGCAAATCTTACATCAATTATGGATAATCAGACCAAGTGACAATTCAGCTATAGTTTCAGAGGGGATGAGTACAGGCACCTGACATATTTGGCTTATTTTTGGATGACATAATTCAGTTCTGTTGAGCAAGCAGGGTGACATCCATAATGGAATAAAATAAAACCTCTTTTTATTATTTTAAATCTAGAGTGAGTTTCCAAAGGTGGTGTTACTTTATGGGTTTTAAATTTTTTTACTGTACTTTTTATTGTTATTTTTTTTATTACTTTTTTGCTGTTGACACTATTACAGATGTCCCCCATTTTCCCTCTCTTTGTCCACCTCCACCCAACCCCTTTCCTCTCCCCTGGCCTTCACCACACTGTTGTTTGTGTCCACGGGCTGTGCCTATATGTTCTTTGGCTAATCTCTTCACCTTTTATCCATCCCCTCCTATCTCCTCCCTCCCCTCTGATCTCCGTCAGTCTGTTCCATGGATCCATGCCTCTGGTTCCATTTTGTTCATCAGTTGATTTTGCTCAGTAGATTCTACATGTGAGATCATATAGTATTTGTCTTTCTCTGACTGACTTATTTTTTTTTAAACAGTCTGTATTCTCATGGTTATGTCAGTCTTATAGTGGTCAAAGTGTAAATTTACTGGAAGGTAGGATCCACCCAGTTGCAGTCTTTCGTTAAATGTACCATTTCCACATGAATAATATACTTAACTTTAAAGTAAGATGGAACAGCCCAACTGGCGTGGCTCAGTGTTTGTGAGTGTTGACCTGTGAATCAGGAGGTCGCAGTTTGATTCCTGGTCAGGGCACATGCCCGGGTTGTGGGCTCGATCCCAAGTGGGGGTCATGTGGAGGCAGTCCATCATGATTCTCTCTCATCATTGATATTTCTATCTTTCTCTCCCGCTCCCTTCCTCTCTGAAATCAATAAAATATATATTTTATATAAATAAACAAACAAACAAATAAAATAAGACAAAGCAGAAATCAGAAGGAGAAATCATAAGATACAGTAGGTTCTGGAAAGGGATCTGATCAAATGTGATTTAGAACGTTGGCATTCATACAAGTCATTTCTCCACTGACTTGCTTCCTACTTCGCATGTTAGTTTTTGTATCTTGGGTGTTCAATTAGGTTGTAAATTCCTTTGAGGAATGCCCTAAACAACATTGTTCACCTCAGCTGCTCTTGGTTTGCCTTCCTGCAGGGTGGCAGATGAGGAAGTGGACCCGGATCATCCCCAGTGTGGAACAGTCTATGATTCCAATGTCTTCACATACTGCCCATGGTCAGCACAAAACTATTCAGATAGCGGAATCTAAATTACACAATTTGTTGGGTGGCAAATGGCTGAATAAACACAAAGTACAGATTAGTTGGTGGGTTGTTTCTGAGGGCACATGCATGAACACCAGCATGGCCTGTTGAAGTGGGAAGAAAACTGGCTAAACCAAATCAGTGGGAAATCTAAACAGCACTGGTAAATAAGCCTGTACATTTTATGAGAAAAAGAGCTTGTTATTGAAGTTGGTTCGATTTTTGCTTAAATATCAATATTTATCATAAAGTACATCAAATACAAAGGAAGGTTGGAGTCCCCTAGGTACTTTACACTTTTGTGATCCTGATCATATTGTTTCTTAAAAATGTCCTTCCCCAGTTCTCTACTTCTCAACTCTTACCCCTCAAGCATCAGCTCAGATATCTCATAAAGAAACTTTAGGTGGTTCTTCTTGTTTTCTTTCTCTTCTGTGTTCTCACAAAGTGTGTTGCCCGTCTTTTCATGTAGTCCTTGTTTTATTCTGCTCTATATTATAGTTTTTCACTTATGCTTGTCCTCCTCACTCCAGTGCAAACTCCTCAAAAGTGGGAATCTTGCCTTAATCTTCTTTGTCTCTGTCAAGCACCTAGGACAATGCCTGATACATAGTAGGCATTTGATAAATGTTTATTGAATTGGATTAAATTATAGATTTTACAGCAGCAAAATGGTTCATTTCACTTGTGAAGTACTTTACCGCTGTTAAAACAGTTTTACATTCAAAATTTCACCTAAATTAGACAATGAAAAAAGGTGGCTCCACTCAGTCTTTGGGGCCCCTTCTGTGAGTGTTGACCTCTATGTTAGTGTGTCAGCCTCTTTAAGGATGTATGTAAATTACTTAAAGAGGCAGGGGAAAAAGAAAAATTTACTAATAAAGTAGACACTACCACTCAGAATTTAAAATGATTCTCAGGTTAGAGCTTAGTATATTTTATTATCCAGACAGTTTTCTTCAGGTATTTACATATCCCTGTGAGGCCTCCTTTCTGGATGAGATTTATGTTGATGTCATCAGAAAATGTACTTCCACTGGACACATTCATAGTTCATGATGTATGCATGTGTCAAGAGTTGTGGGGTCATTATAGCATTAAACATTGAGACAGTATGTGGTTTGGGGAGCAGTGGTAGTTATTTTAAAGTACTAAGGAGGTCATGATAGCATTTTTCTCTTCTCATTTGAAATCATCTTTCAAAAACACAGAACAAACACTGCAAAACTGAAGGCACAGAGTCAGAACATTTTCTTCCAGAGCTTCGAATTAAAGACCATTTGCTGAGCAGCCCTTAATGACTATTGCAGTCCCTTGGGGCAATGTGGGCAAGCCCTTTGAAACATCTTTGGCTGGCACGAGGTGCTTCACACTCACAGGGCTGGATGCAGGTTGGGACAGAGATCACGCTCAGGTTTGGAGGAGGGTGGCGGCTGTGGAACTGCCAAACAATGGCGCTAGGAGTCAGGAACGCAGCAGGGTGGAGGGCAGGTGTCACAGCAAGTGGGCAGCTGCTGGGAAGGTTGACTCCAAATTGACAGCATCCGTCAGTGGGGACCCTGTAGCATCCTTGGAGACAAGGCTCCCAGCAAAACATGGGGACAGTGGATCCGGTAGATTTTTGTTGCAAAGGGAGGTTTTGTTCTACAAAGTCGTCCTCGGTGGATCTCTTATATCCACTTGTGTCAGAGACCATGGCTGCGTCCATCAGAACATCAGAATGTTTTCTGTTGTTTGTATTATCCCATACAGGTAACTCACGAGCTTGCTATTTATCAGCCATGGGATGAGCTCTCCTGCAGTTTTATTTGTGTTGCTATATTCAGACTTGCTTGTTGTTGTCACTCCCTTGCTGATGCTGGTGATTCTGAGAAGATGCAGTGATGCCATTTTTCTTTTTAATTTTTTTTTTGGAGTGCAGGAAGAAGCTGGAGACTGGAATCTATTGCTTCTGTCAGATAAAGAACTGTTGCTGGGGCAACAAGACCCTTCATTCTTCCTCAGGCCTTGCAGTCTCTTTCTAGCACCCTGTATTGGTGGAACCTAGTAGAAAACCAGCCAAAGGAGAAACAGAGTCTTCACCTAGGCATCACAGAGTATCACAAGTTGGACTTGGAGGATGACAATTAGCACATTCTGTCCCATGGACGGTGCCTGGTGTAATTAGATAGTACAGGGTCCCTGTACACCCCTCACTCACTTTCCCTCAATGATGGTATCTTATAATAACATTGTGCATTTGTCAAAAACTAAGAAGCCAACATTGGTATATTGCTATTCATTAAACGTCATACTTTATTCAGATACCACTAGTTTTTTTCACAAATGTCACTTTCTGTTCCAGGACCCTATCTGAAGCACCGATTATATTAGTCATCACATCTATTAGTCTTCTCTGGTCTGTGACAAGGTTAGAGCTTAATATATTTTATTAGTTTTTCAGTCTTTCCTTGTTTTTCATCACCTGGGCAGATTTGAGGTATACTCAGGTATTTTTTAGGGTACATATTATTTTTAATCTTATTTAACAGTTGAGGAACCTGAGGCATAGACAAGTTAAATGACATAACCAAGGACCCATAACTAGTAAGTGGTAGGTATGACAGCCTAGTTTTGGAGACCACTGTCTTGACCATTATATAGGGGGCATTGCTCTGACTAGAATATAGGCTGCATGTTTCCCCAAGGTTAGTAGCCAGGAAGATTTGTAAAAATGACTATATCAGGTTATCAAGAGTTTTAGAACCACACTGAAGATCTTAGCTTTGATTCAGTAAAAACAGGCAACTTGAGTCGTCCTAGAGTTTTGAGCAATTCAGTTTAAACAATATCAGGGACAGGAGCCCTGTCTGACAGGAATATTGTTTGGGATGAGAAAGGGGCAGAGAATACTGGACTCAAGGACAACTAGGAGACTGTGGTTGTCATCAGGGGAGTGGTGGTCAGGGTCTAGGTTAGGCTAGAGTCAGTGAAGGTGGAAGGAAAGGTGTCAGGAATAGTTTGAAAGAAAAATGAAATGACTGGTTTTCTATTAATTGGGTAAATAATCATTTCTATCAAGGGTAAATAATTATTAACTTTAAGGTTAGTTTGTTTTTACCTTGAACTAGGTTATTCAAACTTATCAGAAAATGGAAAATGTGTCTGAGTTGCCGAAGTAACCTTCAATGTAAGGTTAAAGACCCAACCAGTATTTCTCCTGTACTGATATTGCTAATCAGTATTTAAAGTCTGATTTAAAAAAAAATGATTTGCTTTCACCTTAAAAATGAAAACAGTTTTTCCAGACTCATTGTATACACTAGTTTTGTCTTAAGGCACAGAGAAAGATGAGTTACTATATACAACCAAAGACACAGTTCAGAGGGATCGTGGAGAATGTTGCCAAGGGGCATATGCGTTCTCCTGAGTGAAGAGAGCCACGTGCAATCATATTTCTGTCTGCAGAGGAGGCAGATACTTTGGTGAAGTGGAAAGAGAAGGGACTTCGGATTCAGGCAGTTTTCAGTTTAATCCCTTCTCTGTCACAGTTTGTATAACGTTGGCAAGTAACTTTCTCAGCCTCAGTTTCCTCACCTGTAATGGTAGACACCTCTTAGTGTTTTTGTTAGAAATAAAGGACATATGCACATAAAGCACTTCTTCGAGTGCCCAGTAGATTCGCCAAATGTTAGCTATGACGAATGAAAGCAGTACAGTTAATAAGTGAGATGGGGCTGGTTAATGGTGTGGGGTACTTGTTACTTAAAATGCTCTGGATAATCTAGAACCATGGAATGTCAAAACTAAAGTGACTTTAGAGAGAATCTGGTCAACCAACCCATCTTACTGGTTTAAGGCCTGAGACCCAAAGAGTTCAAGTGACTTGCTCAGAGTCATAGAGACAGCCGAGGTAGAGCCCGGACTAGGACACCCTTCTGGTTTGCAGGTGGGGCTCTTTAACTAGCCTTAAATGCCTGAAGGCCCACAGTGGCAGTCCCAGGACACTTAGAGTTATTTTCAGTATTAAAATTAAGGTCTGAAAGTCTAAATATTTATCCCTTACAAAGATGTATAACATCAAACTTCTTTGCTTTTGACTGAAAAAAAAAGGTAACTTGGCACAGTAACAATAGTTCTATTAATCCTAAAACCCTCACTGATATTTATAAATGTATTTATGAACAAAAACAAAGAAATGACTAAATTACTATTTTTAAAAGCCAGTTGGGAAAATAAAACACTTTTCATGAAATAAAAGGATGGCCCTAGCCGGTTTGGCTCAGTGGATAGAGTAGCGGCCTGCGAACCGAAGGGTCCCGGGTTTGATTCTGGTCAAGGGCATGTACCTTGGTTGCAGGCTCTTCCCCAGCCCAGGCCCTAGTCAGGGCTCATGCAGGAGGCTACCAATCGATGTGTTTCTCTCACATCGATGTTTCTCTCTCTTTTTCCCTCTCTCTTCCACTCTCTCTCTCTCAGAAAAAAAAAATCAATGGAAAAATATCCTTGGGTGAGGAGTTGCTAAAAAAAAAAAAAAAGAAAAAAAGAAAGAAAACAAACAAACAAAAATTAAAAAAAGGATGTCTTTCGGTGATAGGCTGGGAACCAGTGTGTGGCAGTAATGGTGGACCCTCTCCCTGTGTCTGGATTGCTGCTGTGGACACTTTGGGCCATTTGATCCTCACAATAATCCTAGGACATGAGCAGAGAAGAGAGTATTATTTCTGCTGTAATAATGAGGAATCAGCGGCTGAGAGAGAAGTAAATGGCCCAAGGTCCCAAGGCAAATACAAGACAATATACAACTGGACTGTATTCTGGGTCCTTTCTGCAAAAGCCTTACTGCACTTGGATTTTTCCAGGACAGCCAAGGAGATGAATTACTGGTCATCATAAAAGTTTGTTGTAGGAGGAAATGTATGTTTTCACTCCCATGATCGTGTGACTATTTCTGGTGTATAGAGAAGACTGCACTAGTCTGATGTTTTTAGTTTATTTCAGTGACATGCTATTATATGTCATTTGGACTAGTAAGTTTATAAATATAGTTATGACTAATGGAAGCCAAGCCTAATTTCAGGAAATAAGGAATATTCTATAAATGCTAATATTCATAGAAGACAACATATATAAAGAAATATATATATATATATATATATATATATATATATATCTCCCAAAATTTCATAGCATTTTGAACTTGGAATTTCATTGATGACTATGACTAAGGAATTAAAATCATTTCTACATACTAGCAAAGTGATTAGTTTGTTTAGATAGTTAAGGAAGAAAAAAATCACTTTTAGGGGTTATAGAAATTAAAATAAATAAAATATTTAAAAACATAGTAATCTCTAGACTCTAGCATAGTGCTTGGTGCAGTGGTTATCTTAAAAAAAATATTTATTGTATAAGAAGGTTCTACAAAATGACCTACTGAATTGTTTACTTTTAAACCTACCACAAAGAGCCAGTATCTAATTTTTCAATGATTCCACCATGAAAGCTCTCATTCTGCTGAATGAGAGGGGGGGCGGGGGGGGGGGGAGGGATGAATCTTGGGTAGTAGGATGACCTGCTGTTCAGGTTTAGGTAGGCATTCTACTTTCTCTGAGAAGGAACATGGAATAAAAACCCACAAGGCCATATATGCTAAGCCAGAATGAAGTTTATTAATGAATAGTCAAAATGGTTATTTCTCAAAGAGCAGTAAAATAGCCTAAAAGACAGAACAGAGGTCTCCAAGTCCCCCCAAAGGAGGAAAGAATTAAGAAGTTGGACTAATTCATGAAAACATGGCCCAGGGAATAGTATGGCGTTAGCCCGCTGTAGGCTGCAGCGTGGTGAAGGCTGGGTGATGTGTAGGAAGTTGAGCAGCACATCACGGAACCTGTGCAAAGCCGTGGCTGCTTAGCAGGGCTCACAGGGGCTTTGACAGCAGGGCTGAACGCAGGTCGTCACGTTGATCCCGTACAGTCCGGGAGTCGGGTGGCAGGAGTTGAGCAGCCAGCAAGTTGGCACGTAGGTGTCAGGCTCACAGCAGGGCGGGGGACAGGTGTCACAGCAGGTGGGCTGAAGGAGGCTGATGTCGTGTGGGCAGGTGCTGGGCAGGCAGACTCCGCAGCGGCAGCATTTGTCCGAGGAGCAGATGGTGGTGGCGGGGCCGGTGGGGACGCTGCAGCAGCAGGGGACACAGCAAGCCATGGTGTCAAGATTTGGGTTTTTGTTGGGTTGAGGAGAGAAGTCTCTTAGTGTCTCAGTGCCTCTCCCTTCTGCTCTGGCTCTTATATACCCACCTCCCTGGGCGTCACCCTATTAGCCAGGTTTTCTTCCCCATGTTTCAGCTTAAAGCTATCTCCATAAAAACCATCTAATTACTTAAGTGTTTATTACCTAAGACACACTCCTCACCTCGTAAAAGGGGGTTCGTTTGTTTTGTTGTCAAATTGGGATTCTTCCCGTTGCTGTTTGTCACAGCACCAGCGTTTCCTTTCAGTCTTCAAAGGCACCAAGTGATTGTCTTCTAATCATCACACATCGGTAATGACGGCCTGGCACGCTGGCTTTCTTCACGTCACCCCCATGTCTTCTGTCTTTTTTCACATGAAGAGAGAAGTAGGCTTTTTGATTGCTTTTCTTGCTTTTCTACCAGCAACTATGTGATACTTCTGGCTTTGTGGCTTAAAAGTAGTAAGGTTCGTAGATTTATTCTTTATTTATTTGTAGATTTATTCATTTTTGTATTTTAATTTTCACAGATTAGCTTTATAAGTTAGTGTTCAATGGAACATTCTTGGGGAGATTCCCGAATTACATCTAAACCACGAAGGCCTTAATAATACAATTACTGCCCTAGCCCCGTGGTCGGCAAACTGCGGCTTGGCAAACCGCGGCTCTCGAGCCACATGCGGCTCTTTGGCCCCTAGAGTGTGGCTCTTCCACAAAATACCACAAAATACCACGTGCAGGCGCACACGTACAGTGCGATTGAAACTTCGTGGCCCATGCGCAGAAGTCGGTATTTTGTGGAAGAGCCATACTCAAGGGGCCAAAGAGCCGCAGTTTGCCAACCACTGCCCTAGCCTGTTTGGCTCTCTGGATAGGGCGGCAGTCTGTGGGCCAAAGGGTCCCGGGTTTGATTCCAGTCAAGGGCACATACCTTGGTTGCAGACTCCTTCCCAGCCCAGGCCCTGGTCCTGACTCCTTTAAGGAGGCAACCAGTCAATGTGTTTCTCTCACATCGATGCTTCTCTCTGTCTTTCCCTCTCTCTTCCACTCTCCCTAAAAATCAATGGAAAAATATCCTCAGGTGAGGATTAACAAATAAATAAAATTACTTAATTTTAAAGACATAAAACAGTATGATGTTTTAGAATTACTTTAAAGTAGGAAAAATAGTAATTGGTAAAATTTTAGATACATGTTAATTTGAAAGTCCTAAATATATATCTATTTTCTGACCCATCTTCAGGTGAAATGGTCCAGGCTTTGAAAAATAATTTAAAATTGCTCAATATAGAGGAGCCAGAAATCACAGGACATGCAGATCAACAAGATGCGGGATGCAAAGGGCGCTTAACATGGAAACTGCTTTCATTTTAGTCATTTTCTTACTAGAATGATATTGCGGGTTGGGATCCCACTGCTGGAAGTTAGCTTGTTGTTCACCTTGCTTCCACAGATATCTCTTTGTTCAACCAAACACTCGTTGGTCAGGCACCTGCTGTAAGTCCGTCAGCATGCAGAAAGGAGGCAAGTAGGTTTTTGTCTTTGAGGAAGTCACAGAGCAGTAAACTGCTGATGACAACACAGGGTTGTGCATTCAAGTTTTCCAGGTAAGAAGTGGGAATTTATTTATTTATTTATTTATTATTATTATTTTTTTAAAATATATTTTATTGATCCTTTACAGAGAGGAAGGGAGAGGGATAGAGAGTTAGAAACATCGATCAGTTGCCTCCTGCACACCCCCCACTGGGGATGTGCCCACAACCAAGGCACATGCCCCTGACCGGAATTGAACCTGGTACCCCTCAGTCCACAGGCTGACACTCTATCCACTGAGCCAAACCGGCCAGGGCAGAAGTGGGAATTTAGAGCTGAGGTCACTGCCTGGAAGATTTGGGGAGAACTTTATGAAAAGAAAACATTTGTGTGGATGCGGAAGCAAGTAAAACAGAGAAGCAAACTGTTGTGGTATATTCCTGGGAGGGCAGAAGTGTTGGTTGGCGGAGGCACCGATTCTGGGGCTCCGTGTGGGAGGTGTCGGAGGAGAATGATGAAAGACGGCATTGGAAAGGTGGGTTAGTGCCACGGTGGAAAGAACTTCGACTGCATGGAGCATGCCACACTCATGATTGTGAAATACATCCTGTTGGCAATGAGCATTACTGAAAGGGTTTTGAATGCGTATGGGACATGATTGGGTTTGTATTTTAGAAAGATGACTGTAGTTTTTGAATGGAGGCCCATCATCATCATCGTCATCATTATCATCACTTACTAAGTATTAGGTCTTGTGCTGAGTGCTTTATATATATTACACATTCCTCACCACAGGCTTGTGATGTACGTAGTGTTACTTACTGCCTTTGCCATTTCACAGATGAGAAACTTGAGGCGCAGAGAGGCTAAGTAACTAGTGAGTAAGGGATGGAGCTGGTATTTGAAGCAAAGCCGATTCCATGCTCTTAGTCCCTGTGTGTGATTCCACCCTCTTAGCACCCCATGCTGGGTGCTAAGCATATAGAAATAGGTCAGTAAAGGTCCTTGTTGTCAGGGTGCTCATTCTCATGGATGAGACAGAAAAAAAGCAAACAAATGAATAAATAAGAACTTCAGACAGTGTCAAGTCCCAAAAGAAAATAATACAGAGTAAAGTGACAGAGAGTGAAGGGGGGGGGGGTAGTGTCCCTCAGGGAGCATGTCTGCTTCTGTTCGGGTGGTCAGGGACAGCCTTTGCCAGGTGGCTGGAGTATGTGAAAGGGAAGGAGTGCGATAGGAGGCGGAGTTCAAGGAGGTGGGCAGGTGCCAGGACAGGTATGGATGTGTAGGTAGTTCTGCAGAATTCAGCTTATTCTAAGGGCATTGAGAATCCACTGGATGATTTATGGCAGGGAGTGGTAAGATGTGAGTTACATTCCATGGAAAAGGAGCTGCAGCAGGGCCAGAATGGAAACAGGCATAACAAGTAAGTGGTGCAGGTGAGAGGATGAACGGGGAGGCCAGTGGTTGATGAATGGGTCAGAGGCGGGAGAGTTTAGGAGGCATTTTTGTAAGTAGAGATGGTATATCATGCTGATCAGGAGAGTGGCCGAGGACCATGCTTAGGTGTCAGGTTTACTCATAAGTGAGGGGACCTGAGCCCCAAAGCTGCCATCTAGGGTAGTAGGGAAGGGTCTAACGATGAGTTCGGTGTGGGGCCTGCAGAGGGTGAGCAGCCTGAAGCCCATGAGAGGGAGCAGGGCTGAAGGTTTGTGACTCTCCAGTGCACTCATAAAAATGTCCTTTCTGCTAAGTTCCTCACTGAGATCAAAGGTCACTTTTATGTGTGTGAGTCACAGTGTGTGTGATCCTCCGTGTGACTTACCGACATCCATCTCCCAACAACTCGGCAGCTTTCGGGGCTGCTGTCAGGAAAATCTCCCATGACGGCACCTCCCGCATCTGCAGGCATGTCAGTGTTGGGAGGTTACACACTTCAAGCACTCCGTTTCCTTAAGCGCTTCATCCCCTCGCAAAAGCAGGACATAGGGACCTTTTCAATTTGTCATCCCAATAAACATGCCTGTAAGTAAACACACTTGGTCTTTATTTCCTGAATTGCACCACCTTTTAAATTTCTGGTGAACTCCTTTATGATATACACACATGGGGAGAAGAAAGGCTGGTATCAGGACTGCCACCGACATCAATTCTTTCATGGCAGGAAGTCCCCCTGGCGGAGCGTGCGGGCAGAGGACTCCGGGTGTAGGTAGAACGGCAGACTTTGGGGACCTCCTACAGTTGCATCAGGACATTTTTTCCCAGTGTGTGGTGATAGTGCACGAGCCGGCACTGAAAACTACTCTCAACTGGATTTCTTTCAAATAAAAGTAGTGCTGGTTTGCCCCTTGGGGACAGCTGATATTGGCTATAGTTTCGTAGGTGTATGTGACCCAACGGGGGTGACCCTTGGGTGCTGCATCACTTGGACATATATGTTCCCATTCCAATATGCCAGGGCGGGTCTCATAGCATGTAAACTCGCGGGGCACATGTGAGCTTAGCCTGGCTTCTGCTGGCTGGACATGCTGCCTCTTTCTCTTGGGGATCTCACGCTTCCAGTTTAAACCTCATGTTTTATTTATTGTAAGCTATAGGATATGCAGGTAGTAGCAGAGACTTATACCCAGTTAAATAAGGTATAAATATATGTGTTCATTTAAATGAGCCTGGTTGAGAAAGTAGATGCTCAATAAAATTTGAATAATGATGATGGCAAGCAGGTTTCTTAAGTCAGAGTTATGGTTTTGGGGATAAGTCAGTAGTTAACAAAAAACACACCCCATCTGCTGCCAGATTTTGCTGGCACAGCTCATTTTACATGGACGGTTTTTAATAGAAATGGAACTTTCTTAAGTACAAAGCTAAATGGTGCTGAGTAGTGTTTCCAGTTCCTCAGCCGGCTTCTATCAGGCCTAAAATGTTGTCATGTTTTGGCTGCTACCTCCAAAGCTCAGGGACTAATTTCCCCCCTTGGTAATCAGCTGCTGTGATTAAAGGGAGTGAGTGAAAAGTCTGAACAGTGGTTCATGAAATAATCTGACTTTTAAAAGGCAGTAAGAGTTTCATAGTTAGGGTCCAGTCCTGAGAAAAGAGCCATACCCATTATTTGAACGGAGTGAATTTTATACAGAGACTTTTAAACTAGGTTGTTAGCTAGGTAACTAACTGAAAGGATAAAAAAGAGAACCCTGGGATTATCATAAATGTAGGAAATGCAGAAAGTCCTAAGAATGAGAGTTTCTTTAAAGGGAAGAGGGAAGGAATTGAAATTTAGGAATTTAGCTAGGGGATTGCCCCGTGGGGCTGGAACTCAGGCGTTTTCCAGAGAACTGGCTGGTCGGTGCTGCTGTGACTGAGGCAGGCACAGTGGTGAGTGCTGAGAAAACAGCAAACTTTAGGTGTTGCTATGGAAAGCCAGGGAGACCTGCAGCAGGTGGTTTTTTGGTAATGTATCGACTTATCGCCATACCCGGAGCTGCTGTATGAAGAAGTGTTACTGGGGTGATCATCCTGGGACCCCGTAGTGTACAGGAAGCCCTGATTAAACAGAAGGAAACACATAGGAACAAACAAGTCCCTCCTTCCTCCTCCAGCTTTGTCGTTTCCCTCTGTCACCCTCTAGTGGCAGAACCTGACATGGAGCAGCTGGCAAAGCTCTCAGGGTTTGCAGAGCACCATGGAGGCATCACAAAGCTGCGTATGGAGGGCCGGTGTGGAGCTGCGAGGTAATAACTTAACAACTGGCATCAAGAGGAACTTATTCTGAAACCCACAGCTTCCCAAATAGCCATCTTTAAGCCAGCCGAACCTGCCCACGCCGTTCTTTCCTTTCAGTCCCTACATTTCATTGTTTCTTCATGAGTTTTGGAGTCCGAGTTGGAGTCATATGTTAGTTTTTACTTATGAGCTGTGTGACTATAAGCAAACTATTTAACTTCACTTATCTGTCTACCTATTTACTTAATAAAAACTCCTGATTGAGATATGATTGATATACAAAAAGCTGTATATATTTAATATGTATAATTTGATGAGTTTGGGGATAAGTACACATGCATGAAACCATCACCACAATCAGAGCCATAAACATACCTGTCACTTCCAAATTTTCTTCCTGCCCTCTTTTTGGTGATAAGGACACTTAATATCTATCCTTTTAGCAAATATTTAAGCATACTACAATATTGTATTGTTAATCTTGGACATTATGATGTACAGTAGATCCCTAAGACTTACTCACCTCTCTACTCTCTGCTTCTATGTTTGACTATTTCAGATTGCTTATATAAGTGGGATGGTGTAGTATTTGCTCTCCTGTGTCTGGCTTATTTAACTTAGGATAATGTCCTCTAGGTTCATCCATGTTGCTACAAGTGGCATGATTTCCTTCTTTTTTAATGTTGACTAATATTGCACTGTGTGTAAATACTATGCTTTCTTTATCTGTTGATGGATACTTAGGTTGCTTTCATGTCTTGGGTATTGTGAATAATGTTGCAATGAACACGGGAGTGCAGATATCTCTTTGAAACCCTGATTTCAATTCATTGAACCTCCTTTAGACTTAATTTACTCATTGAAAAAATTATCTATTTCACAGGACTGATGTAAGTATTCAATGCAATTAGGTCCATACGAAGTTTACTTAGCTTGTGGTACAGCATATGACATTAAACAAGGGAAGGAAAAAAGAGAAGAAAATAACCAGGAAAATATACATAGAAAAATATTCATAGTTTCTGTAATCCTTTTTTTTTTTCTAATTGGTTATAGGGCTGTAATTAATACTGAAACTCTCTTTGCCCACTACCCATTTCATGTTTTCTTTACCCTCAGCCAGGACCTCAGCTGGCTGGGGTTCTTTACTGCTGGGCGTGATTTAAATTTTTTCTTGAGAGGTCTGAGTTCACAGTGGTACTGACTTTTTCAGGCTATCAGTAAGTGGGTTAAAGTAGTATATGTTGAAGAAGCGTCAGGGTGAAGAGGAAGTGGGAGCTCCAGCAATGCGTGTTCCTTTTATCAATAAAGGAAACTCACAGCTGACTTTTAGATTTCATAGGCCAGGGCCATATCTCTCTATTTCTATCCTTTATTTTTTAAATTTATAAGCTTATATATAGTATTATACTACAGGCATCTGCAGGGAATAGCAGGCATGACATGTTGGCAACTTTTATTGTCTCTATAGTTTTGCCCTTTTCAGAATGTCCTACAGTTGGAATCAGATAGTATGAAGTCTTTTCAGATTGGCTTCTTACATTAAACAATAGGCATTTAAGATTCTTCCATACCCATTTGTGGTTTGAGAAATCATTTCTCTTTATCACAGAATAGTGATATCTATCGAATAGATATACCAAAGTTTGCTTATCCGTTCACCTATGGAGGGACATTTTGGTGGCTACCAATTTTTGGCAATTACAAATAAAGCTTCTATAAACATTCATTTGCAGGTTTTTGCATGGACATAGCTTTCAACTTATTAGGGTTGGAATACTGAGGAGCACAATCGCTGCACTGTGCACCAAGTCTACGTTTTGTAAGAAACAACCCAACTGTCTTCCAGAGTGGCTGTACCATTTTGCCTTTCCACCAACAATGAGTGAGAGTTCCTGTTGCTCCACCAACATTTTGCTACCTTTTGGTGTTCTCATTGCTTTGGTGTGTAGGTTGGCTTTTTTCTTTTTCACTCTTTTTGTTCCATTTAGAATGACCTCAAGGCCCTCTTCAAAGATCACCTCCCTTGGGAAGTCTTCCCTAATGCTGCCCCCAGCGTAGCCCTTGCTGGTCCTGAAGTGTTACTACTTTCCACAGCAGGATCCACCCAAAGCCTCTCCACAGTTTCTGAAGGTTCCTGGGGCATTACTTTCCTGCCATTCCCCTCGTCTGTTAGGTCCTGGGCTGTCATTCCCTTGAATCAACCCAGACATGAAACTCAGCTCCTTGCATAGGACAATTGACCACCCACAGATTGTGTGAGTGTGACAGCTTAATGTGGAGGGATCATAGAGTAATATTCATGGCCTCTCTTTCTTCTTTTCTCTCCTCCCTTTCTGCAATAGGAAATATTCCTCTTGGTCTCATGTGTAATGTTTAATGCCCTTTTCTTAAGCTTTTGGGGTTGCCAGCATGCATATCCCATGTGGATGAACCTATTTTAAGTTCAACTGTTGAGGCATCTTGGTCACAAAAGCATCTATCCCTAAGGTAGAGGGAGTTTTTTTTTCTATGAACTAAGAAAATATAGTTTTTCTCATCACACTGTATGTAGCTATTTTTACACATTCTTTTTCTTTCTGGATAGTAAGGTCCTCCAGGATAAGAATTAATTTTTCATCTTTCTGATTTCCATAATCACTTCATTGAAGTGGTGGTCAATACATTTTTATTGAATGAATACACTACATATGGCTTCAGTCTCTTTTTAAAAAGAAACGAGTGTATTTCTTACAAGTGGACATTCTTGAACTATAAGCAGTTATGTACAAGTGGAGACACTGACCATGATTTCTTTGCCCAGTATATAACATTTATTAAGAAATGACAGAAGACACTGTATCACAGGTATAATTAAAATAGCCAAAAGGAAAGATCGTTATGATCCCCCCAAAAGGGGTGGAATCAGATTTTGAAATATGGGAAAGTCTTCTTAGAAGCTGAATGTTGGGTGAAGAGCCTCCATTCTCTCTGGTGACATCTGAGGAATGCCGCTTGGCTATACTTTGGTGCCTTTAATGTTGAAAATTTTTTTTAGGTAAATAGAAGGTAAAAATAGATCACAAAGCATTGGAAAAATAGACTTGTGGACAGCTCTCAAGGATAAAATCCACAATATGGCAGCAATTTTCAACCCTGTGGGAAAATCGGGAATAGTAGATCCAAAGCAATTTGATGATCAGCAGGTGGGCTCACAGCACTTCTGTGTCCGCAGTGGAGAGTCAAGGTATTCATAGTAGAGTGGAATCTGATAGAACTCATCGACTTGATAGCCCCCATAAGAGCCCATAACAGAAACCCAAGTAGAAGTCTGAGAACTTGTTAGTGGCCCACGGGTTGTGGAGGAGACATTATTCCGATACTGTGTCCTGGGCAGTTAAAAATCAACAAGTTGGCTTTTTAGCAGGTGGGCTCGCAGCAGTAGCAGCAGCAGGCTGGGCGGCAGCAGGACTGTCCACAGTAGGATGGGCGGCAGCAGGCGGCCTGGGCATGGTGCAGCTGGCAGCAGGTTGGGGGGGTGCAGCTCACCACACAGCAGGGGGGCAGGCAGGTGTCCTCCACGCGGCAGTCAGGGCGGCACCACCTGGTGCGGCAGCTCACACCTCCACAGCCACAATCCTGGCCACAGCTAGTGCCGCAGCCGGTCCCACAGCAGCTGGTCTGGCAGCAGGTTGGCTGGCAACAGCTGGTCTGGCAGCAGGTTGGCTGGCAGCAGCTGGTCTGGCAGCAGCTTGGCTGGCAGCAGCTGGGGCCACAGGTCCCAGAGGAGCAGCTGGGAAATCCACAGAAGCTAGTTTGACAGCAGGCCATGGTGTCAGGAGTTGGGTTGCTTGGAGGTTCGGTGGTGACTGCTATGTTGGGCCTTTTATATAGTCTGACCAGCTGGTATTTATACAGTTTTTACCATATCTTCCTTGTTTTTGTTTAAATTTGCTCCTCAGTGGGCCTCTGATTGGCTTACACATAAATACTTATGACACATTATGAGCAGCAGTTTAGAAATTACTTTGTTTTATAGTTTATTTGGACTCCTCAGATCGGTCTTTTGCTCTTTGGAATAGGTTTGTGGTTTTCAGAGTCCTGCTATTTTTGTCCATGTCAACACACGTGCTTTATAGAGGTATTTATTCCACGTGACACTCTGTCCAGACCTCTAGGGCTAAGGATAATTGTGCTCCTTTTAAAAAAAACTATTATTATTTTTTTTTTTTTGCCTCTGGATGTATAGACTAAATTCTCTTGAATTTAGGACATCAGGACAACCACTGAGTTGAAAGCATGCCTTCTGCCATGCATAATTTAGTTTCCAAGTAATTTACTCCCAACATCAAGTCAGATTCCCATTATAGTTCCTTTTAACCAGTTTGAAATGTGCAAATATTATTTGTGTTTCAGGCCAAAAATCTTTTCGTGTGAACCAAATGACATAGTATATATAAAAGTGTCTGGTGGAGTGCTTACCTACTGGTAGTATCTCAATGTCTGTTGAATATGATTTTGAATGGGAGGAGTAAAAGGCATGATTCATGGGTGCCTGTACCACTTAATGATTGAATAGAACTTTCAAGCTTAGTGCCTCTCATGAAGGAGTCCTTGTTATGGTCAAAGGAGACAAGGAAATGCTAAAATTTTTTTCTGCATTTGATAGTTGAACCAAGGCTCAGGAAAAGCATCTGGGAGTTAGGACATTTTGAAGGATATACTGCCATTTACTTTATTCTGCTACTAATTAAATGGTAGAGGTAAGTGCTGGGAGCTTGTAAATAATTTGGAAAAGACGGCTTAAAGTGTCTGATATTTTGTCATGTTGTATTTTGTATGCTGCACTCAAATTACTTAAAAATTAATTGGTAAAAGGTATTTTGGGTCTAGATTTGTGCTAACTTCTTAAGAGAACATCTTTCAAATTGGATCGCAAAGTGCAGAATATATAGTTGTTTTATTTTTCTGATACATGTGTCTGACATGTGGTGCTGGTGGAACTCAGTAGCTATCTACATAGCTGTTTATTCTAATTTCGTTTAGACCAGTGATGCACCTTATACATACTTATAATGGAGGGGAGTGTTGGGAGTTGAAGCGTAGAGATCAATTTGGGGGTCAGTGGGAAGAATATATTAGGGTAAGGCATAGGAATTAAAACCGAAATGCTCTTGGAAAATAGTGTCTGATAGCATCTGGTAGATACTTTCAAATCTATTTAGTCGGCATTACAGTTTCTTTCGCTATTAGGCATACATGAAGGAGAACATCTAGTAGATTAAAGGGAAGGAGATTAAAAGTCGTAGAAGTACATCTAGGTAGAAATCCCATAGCTTTGATCAACCTGAACATTTTAGTTAAAAGTGGCCTTATTAGTTTAGACCTAATCATAATAGATTTGGAGCATGTAAGTTTTTGGATAACTGCAAGTATTATTTACTGCATGGAACATCTCATTAACTGATGGGTGAAAGCATAATATAACTTGTATTTTTCTGGTTTAGACTTTTTGTTTATGCCTTAGGATTATTATCAAAGTGCAAATCCACTTCTCTTGAATTTCAGCTGAAGGTGGACAAGCTGAATGATGGAAGACAATGACTCAGTTTGCTTAGCACAAGTAAACATTTTATTTTAAATTAACAGGGTATTGAAGGAGAAAGCAGGTCTGAAAATGTGTGGGGATCACGAAATAGGGAGGAGGACAGAGCTGTCATTGATCTGACACTGGTTAATACTTGTTTTCAGTGGGAGAGTTCAGCACACTCAAGAGGGGCCTAAGACTTATGATTTCTGAGCGGCTTAGAAACATCGCTATACATAGCATCCAAGTAAAGTTGAACACTTCTTTAGAGATCAAGGCAGATTTCCTGAGTTGCTCCTTTCATTCTTAAGTAACCAGCAACCTTCCTTTTAGCAGGTGGGCTCGCAGCAGTAGCAGCAGCAGGCTGGGCGGCAGCAGGACTGTCCACAGTAGGATGGGCGGCAGCAGGCGGCCTGGGCATGGTGCAGCTGGCAGCAGGTTGGGGGCGTGCAGCTCACCACACAGCAGGGGGGCAGGCAGGTGTCCTCCACGCGGCAGTCAGGGCGGCACCACCTGGTGCGGCAGCTCACACCTCCACAGCCACAATCCTGGCCACAGCCAGTGCCACAGCCGGTCCCACAGCAGCTGGTCTGGCAGCAGGTTGGCTGGCAGCAGCTGGTCTGGCAGCAGGTTGGCTGGCAACAGCTGGTCTGGCAGCAGCTTGGCTGGCAGCAGCTGGGGCCACAGGTCCCACAGGAGCAGCTGGGAAATCCACAGAAGCTAGTTTGACAGCAGGCCATGGTGTCAGGAGTTGGGTTGAGAGGTGTGTTGTTTAGAGAAGTTTCTGAGTTTTGGTTGCACCTTCTACATCTGGCCTTTTATATAGTCCCCAGAGACACCTATTTTCCTAATGTTTAGCATCTTTCCTTGAAACTATTTGCAAAGTCAGTCTCTGATTGGCTAGTACCTGAGTTGTTTAGAAAGTTATAAATAGCATTTCAATAGCCTGCTTTGGTCATTGCTCAATTAAGTCTCATTACATTTCTTCTTTGCCCTGTGGGGGCAAATGAAGACTCATTGTGGGAGCCAATCATGGCAGCTCCTCTTAGTGTTAGTCACATGAGGGACCAAACTTGAGCCAACCACGGCCCTGGCTTGCTTTGTCGAATCTGTCTTTTGATAACTTTCAAGTAGAGTCTATCTGAATGAACATTTTCTTTGTAGGTGGTCACTCAATTAGGATCATGATTCATAAACACGTTGTCTAGACTTGAATAACTAACATTAGTGTCATCAAGACATGAGCACTCACTTGGTTCATCAGTATCCAAAAGAAGTATGCCTTTCTGTGATCAGAGTGTGCAAGTTTCAGGATCCTCAGAGCTCTAGCGGGCTTTTATCTTCATCGTCAGTGTACATATTCCCAACTGAGACCCTAATGACTTTAGCTTGTAGATTGTTTTCTGACTGTGCTCAATTAAGAATATATGCCAGTAATGAACACACACTTTTAACAAGTCAAGCAGTACCAAAAGTTAATATTTTCCCTCCCTATCCCAAAATACACATATCCCTTCCAAAAGTAGTATTCCAGGAGATAATCACTTGATCTTAGCCAAAAGGCCGAGAAGCGATCCAGGAGATAATCAATATTAAGTTTGGTACCTGTTCTTCAATACCTTTCTTCCTTTTTTTGTCAACATGAAGCAGCATCTATGCACATAGATCTTATAATTCAGTAGTCGGGGTCTCCTATACTACTTATTTTTTAAAATATATTTTTATTGATTTCAGAGAGGAAGGGAGAGGGAGAGAGAGATAGAAACATCAATGATGAGAGAGAATCATTGTTTGGCTGCCTCCTGCACGCCCCCTATTGGGGATTGATCCCGCCCTTGACCGGAATCGAACCTGGGACCCTTTGGTCTACAGGCTGATGTTCTATGCACTGAGCCAAACCAGCTAGGGCTATACTATTTTTTAAACAACTTAATTGTAAAATACACATAACATTTATCATTTTAACCATTTTTAAGAGTACAGCTCACTAGTGTTATGTAAATTCACATTGTGAATTCTTTTTATCTTGCAAAACAGAAATTCTATATCCATTAAACTTTCTCTTTCTCTCCTCCCCAAACCCTTGGCAACCACCATTCTACTTTGTGTCTTGATGAATTTGACCACTCTTGTTACCTCATACAAGTAAGATCATCCAGTATTTGTCTGTTTTGTGACTTGCTTATATTCTCAAGAGTCATCCATGTTGTAGAATGTGTCAGAACTTCCTTTTTAAAATTTTATTGTTGACACTATTACAGATGTCCCCTATTCACTCACCCCTGTTTTGCCTGTCTCCACCCAGCCCCTTCCCACTCCTCCTTCTGGCCTTCAACACAATATTGTCTGTGTCCATGAACTATGCCTATATGTTCTTTGGCTAACCTTTTCACCTTCTTTCATCCAGTCTCCCCTCTCCCACCCCTCTGGCATCTGTAATATCCACTGTATGTATATACCTCAGCTTTTTTAATCTATTCATCCATCAATGGACACTTGGGTTGCTTACACCTTTGGCTGTATGATTAATACTCTTTTGGTTTGCAAACTGGCCCGCATACACAAAGGGCAAGGAGAAACCAAAGAAAGAGCAGACCATTCCATATTAATAGGTGGCAGATTTAAAAAGCAACAGATAACATATGCTGGCAAAGATGTCGAGAAAAGGGAATACTAGTACACTGCTGGTGGGAATGCAGATTGGTGCATCCACTATGGAAAACAGTATGAAATTTACTCAAAAATTAAAAATGGAACTACCATTTGACCCAGTGGTCCCACTTCTAGGAATATATCCTAAAAAGCCCGAAACACCAATCAGAAAGAATATATGCACTCCCATGTTCATAGCAGTGCTATTTACAATAGCTAAGGTCTGAAAACAGCCCAAGTGTCCATCAGTAGATGAGTGGATAAAAAAGCTGTAGTACATTTAATGGAATACCATGCAGCTGTAAAAAAGGATTTCTTACCCTTTGCAACAGCATGGAGGGATCTGGAGAATAATATGCTAAGTGAAATAAGCCAGTCAGAGAAAGACAAATATCATATTATTTCACAAGTGGAATCTAATAAATATAATAAACGGATGAACAAAATAGGTCCATAGACAGGGAGGCATGGAACAGACTGACATGTCCCAGAGGGGAGGGCGGGGGGGGGGGGGAACAGGAATTGATTAACGAAAGAACTCATATACATATATGCATAACCAAAGGACACAGACAATAGTGTGGTGAATGCCTGGGGTGGGGCAGGGGCTGGGAGAAGGTGGGTAAAGTGGGGATAATTGGGGGACCTCTGTAATACTCTCAACAATAAAATAAAATTTTATTAAAAAAAAACACGTCATCTTTCACCATGGAGTATGATTTGGGTGTGGCCTTTTCATATATGACTTTTATTATGCAGAGATAGTTTCCTTCTATTCTTAGTTTGTTGAGTTTTTTTTTTTAATCATGAAAGACTTGAATTTCATCAAATGTTTTCTCTGCATCTATTGAGATAAGCATGTGTTTCCCCCCTTCATTCTACTATGTGATGTATTGGATTGAATGATTTTTATATGTTGAAAATCTACTTGGTCATGGTGTATATCCTTTACTGTGCTTTTGAATTCTGTTAGATAGTATTTTGTCAAGGGATAGTGCATCAATATTAATCAGGGATATTGGTCTGTAATTTTCTTTTCTTACAGTGTCTGTCTGACTTTGGTATAGGGTAATGCTGGCTTCATAGAATGAGTTTGGAAGTGTTTCCCCTTCTTTCATTTTCTTTAAGTGTTTGGTAGAATTCATCAATAAAGCCGTCTGATACTGGGATTTTCTCTTTTAGGAGGTTGTTTATTACTGATTCAGTCTCCATCTTAGCAATAGCTCTGTTCAGATTTCTATATTTCCATGATTCAGTTTCGATAGGAATTACCCATTTCATTCAGATTATCCAATTTGTTGACCTATCCTGTACATACTGTTATTGTTTCTTTTAAATAGCTATGTGGTATTCCTGAGTATGATCACACCACACTCTCTTCAGTCATCCCCTACTGATAAAATCTCAATTGTTTTTAGTTGTGCTTTTTGAATTTTAAAAAGATCATAGAATTTTAAGCTGAAAGTAACTTTAAACAAGTCCAGAGTTAGGTGATTAGAGATGGTCACATGCTGTAGGGAACTGAGCTCTTAACTGAGAAATTAATTCAACCAAAGAGGCTTCTCACACTGGTTCTATCATTAAGCGACTGAACCTCAGAAAAGTCACTTAGTCCCTCTGAGCATTGGTTTGTTCATCTGTAAGATGAGATGCTTTCTCAGACACCTCCAGGGCGAAAATTGTGCTATTGCTCCACCAGATCATTGGTTGCTTAAGGGCATGATCTGCCCATGTCTGGTTCACCTTGCTTTCGTAGATAGTACCTTCTGCACCATCTGCATGTCCATGCTCAGTATGCACTTGTTGAATTAAAGAGGGAATGAATGATGAGCAGTGTATGGTAATGATAAACAGCCGACTTTGCCTCCTACCAAAGTCACTTGTCTGTCTGTTTGTTTGTTTATTTATTTATTTATTTATTGTCCTCCTTTCTGTTCTGGTGTTCAAGGGGTGTTTTCTGGATTGGATCAGGTTTCTAGATGCTGCATCAGGGTAACTGATTCTTTGCTTACATGTTATTCTTTATTCATGCTTTCTAATTACTTGATTTTTATTAGCCTATAAATGAATAAAGCATTGGAATTTTAACCAAAGTAACATTCTTTCTTTTTTATCCTCACCCGAGGCTATGTTTATTGATTTTAGATAGAGAGGAAGGGAGAGAGAGAGATAAAGAGGAAGAAACATCATTTGGTACCTCCTGTATGCAACCTGATGGGCAATTGAACCTGCAACCTAGGTATGTGCCCTGGTTGGGAATCGAACTTGAAACCTCTTGGTGTACAGGATGACATTCCAACCAACTGAGCCACCCAGTCAGGGCCAAAGTAATATCTATACTAATAAAAGGGTAATATGCTAATTAGACTGGATAGACCAGACGTCCTTCCTGACAAAGCCACAGTGGCTGCGAGGGCTGAGGAGGGCCGGCACAGCTGCAGCGGCTGGCAATGGCAGCAGCAGCAGGGTGATGGGGGCGGCGCCTTCCCCTGACTGGCTGGGTCCCCTCCCACAGAGGGAGGCCAGACTGCGGCTTAGGCCCGCTCCCTGTGGGCTCCCAGACTGTGAGAGGGGGCACCCCACTCCCAGGGCACAAATTTTTGTGCATCGGGCCTCTAGTTCTTAATAGAAAAGAATACCTTCAGTCTCATCCAGTTCTAATCCCAAGAAACCATGAATTAATCTTGATCCTTTCTCAAAAATTTGTGAAATATTTTGCGATACTTGTGTTTAAATTCATTGTATATAAGTATTATATATAAATGCATCTATATGTATAATACATATGTATTTTTGTTAAGCATATATTTTAAGCCAATGTACAATATGTTGATTCTAAAAATAGAGCAAATCTTTGTTGTCCTCACTTTCAGTTCAGAAATTAGGGAAGAAAAGTTTTTGGAGTAAAAATCTCCATCTAATTAAAAGCATATTTCCCCAACTTGTAGTTCTCTTGCTTTATTCTGCAAGACCACATGTAAATGGAAGAGTGGGATTTACTAGCATACATTACCAGTGTTTGAAGATTGCCTGAAAGAGCATTCCTTTAACAGATGTGAAAAAAATGACTCATATTCTGGCGCTAGATTCAGAGGTCCTGGCTTCTGTAGCTTTCTGGTTGTGAAAGCACTGTGTGAGGTCAGGACTTGGTCATAGAGCTGTGCCATTTCTGAGGCCCTAGAACTGCCTTTTCTGCATGTTTTTATGGATCTTATCAAATATTTTCCTAACATTGTATAAGAAGAGCAGTGTGGGGTAGCAAAACCAGATTAAAATATTTTGCATAACTTTCTATGAAATATACCAATACATCATGAGTACACTCAATGAAGAAAAGGAGATATGTCTGCTGCACCAAATAAATATAATTTATTAGGCCTTAGTATAGTATTCCTTTTTTATGGGAAGTGCAGTTTGAAGGATGGTAGATTGAGGAGGTGAACGCGTCTAAGAAGTATAGATAGTTCTTGCCCGGCTTCGGCAGCACTGAGTCCTGGAGCATGGGATCAAATGCTTGCTGAAGGTCAAGCCCAATGCAAATTGGTTTTCCCATTTCTTGAGTCAAATTTACATTTTGGCAGCCTCAGTGGGGAGATCAGGTCTGCAAGGCTCAAGTATTTGCTAACTCCCACAACAAAAGTCAAATAAAAGTTCCAGAACTTGTTAGTAGTCCAGGAATGGTTGAAGAAATAATTAGTTCATGGATTGAGTTGGAAGTTGCAACTTCAGGTTGAAAATCATTAACTTGGCTTTTAGCAGGTGGGCTCACAGCAGTAGCAGCAGCAGGCTGGGCGGCAGCAGGACTGTCCACAGTAGGATGGGCGGCAGCAGGCGGCCTGGGCATGGTGCAGCTGGCAGCAGGTTGGGGGCGTGCAGCTCACCACACAGCAAGGGGGCAGGCAGGTGTCCTCCACACGGCAGTCAGGGCGGCACCACCTGGTGCGGCAGCTCACACCTCCACAGCCACAATCCTGGCCACAGCCAGTGCCACAGCCGGTCCCACAGCAGCTGGTCTGGCAGCAGGTTGGCTGGCAACAGCTGGTCTGGCAGCAGGTTGGCTGGCAACAGCTGGTCTGGCAGCAGCTTGGCTGGCAGCAGCTGGGGCCACAGGTCCCACAGGAGCAGCTGGGAAATCCACAGAAGCTAGTTTGACAGCAGGCCATGGTGTCAGGAGTTGGATTGAGAGGTGGTTTGCTTGGAGAAATTTTTTAGGTTTGGTGATAACTTCTACGTCGGGCCTTTTATAAGCCTTGGCCAGCTATTATTTACATAATTCCCAAAGTCTCTTCCTTGTTTGTGTTTAAATAACTTGTTTCTGAATGATAATTGCCCTGTCCCTGAGTTATTTGTGCAACCTTCTGAAAGCCTTTAAAGCTTTATTTTATTTGGTCTTCAATTAGGATTCTTTACCATGGCCCAGTAGTCATTAGCGTTCACTGAGTACGTAACCCCTAATTTCCCATATTCGTTACAATCTGCTCATTGCCCAAAGAATAATTGGCTGATGCCTCACCTTTAAGGAGTGTCAATATTACTCTATGTTGACTCTAATAATTGAGCTCTTGGGTCTCACATGACAGTTTGATGCTCAGCCACGTGGCCTCCAATGTCGACAGCTGCCCCTTCCCTACCCTTTCTTTTCTTCACTTTGCCAGAGCAGCAGAGTGATTCAGCGGCCAGAACGGGATGCTTTCATCGGGGGCTGGGAAATATGGATGAATTGGTACTGAAAACATTTTTGAAACACTTATGTGTCCAAACAGTTCTGAGTACTTTGCTTGCATCAATTCATTTAATTTTCACAGCAACCCTACAGGGTAGGTATCATTGCTTTTAAACCATTTCTACGAGGACAGTGAGCCACAAACAGATTTAAGGTATTCACCCACGTTCACGCTAACAAATGGTGAATCTGAAATTTGAACCATGCCATCTAACTCCAGACTAAACTTTCAATCATTACAGTCTTTTCCATGTAAGCAGGTGTTCGAGGGAAAACCAATGGAAATTTGCCCTATTTTTTACAGGCTTTTGGAGAGTAGAGGGAGGAAAGACAGAGTTTAGCTTGAGTAATAACTCTGTGATTAGAGATTTCTCTGGAGATTTTATTTAATTTAAATTTTTTTTTATTGATTTCAGAAGGAAGGGAGATGGAGGGAGAGATAGAAGTATCAGTGATGAGAGAGAATCATTGATCAGCAGCCCCTGCACACCCTCTACAGGGGATCGAGCCCACAGTCTGGGCATATGCCCTGACCAGGAATCAAACTGTGACGTCCTGGGTCATAGGTCAATGCACAACCACTGAGCCACGCCATCTGGGCAGGAGATTTTATTTTTAAAAGCTATATAATAGGTATACTTCAAGAAAATCTTAAGTGCTGAAAGAGTTAATGAACGTGACTTGTGACTACTTGACTTGTGACTTCATCCAATCTTTGATTTTAGGCTCTTCTATAGATTTAAATGTTCTTTTCTTAAAATTGAGATATGATTGACATATAATATTGTATTAGTTTTAAGTGTATAACAATGATTTGATATCCTATATAATAAAATGCTAATATGCAAATTGTCCCCTGGAGCGGGAGTTCAACTGAGAGTTTGACCAGGGGGTGGGGCTGGCCAGCCAACCACCCATGGTCCCTCCCCCCGGCCAGCCAGGCCTGATTAGCCTGATCGGGGCGGGCTGGCCAGACCCCACCTGCGCACAAATTTGTGCACCGGGCCTCTAGTATGTATATATTGTGAAATGATTACCACAGTAAGTTAAGATCCATCACCACACATAGTTACAATTTTTTTCTGTGCTGAGAATAAATGCTCTTAACTGCATAAAAATCACAATCTTAATATATTAAAACTGGAGTATGTGGCGTACTGTGGTGTATTAGACCTAGAGTATGCAGTTTGCTGTAGTTGTTAGAGACAAATCCAGTGCCACATAGCGGGTTTGAATCAAAATGGCAAGTGTTAGTTCTGCTTCTCTAGAAATGATAGCTTTGAGTTCAGATCATAACTCTTCGCAGATGAATTAAGACATTTTGAAATTCCACATCAAATGTGAATTGAAAGGTATGGTTCTTTGTGAATATTTTTGCTTCTTCTCCTTTAGCAAATTTGTATCACTGATTCTTTGATTAGCTAATATTTCCACGTTGAATGTTTTAAATATGTGGATTTCTCGTTACTACAATCGCAGGAGCTAATTCATACCTAAATTTAGCAGAATCTTTGATACTAAAATGACTTACCTCCCCTTGCACACATTTCCGATGTTTGAGGAGTTGAAATTCATATTGACAAGGGCACTGGTGATAGAGTAGCATTATATATTATATTTCCATGTCTGTGCTTCTCTACCATGGCATTGCTTTCAACATCTTTCTCACTGCAAAATTTAACTCAGTTTTCATGTTTCTGATCTTTAGTTGCCCTTAGAGAATTATTAAGAATAAAATGTTTTAGTCCGGATTCTCCAGGGAAAGAGAACCAACAAGATACATAAATTCAGGAGTGGGCAAAAGCAGGTTGTGAGTGACATTTTTTTGAGTTAATAAAGCTACTATAGTAATCATAACCGGAATGTCTTTTTCCATATGGACAACTGTAAACCTACTTTTGCCTACCCCTGTACATATTAGTGAAAATATATATATTTATTATGTGGGATTGGCTCGTACAACTATGGAGGCTGATAAGCCCCACTAGGAGCACTGGTCTGAGGGCAGAAGAAGACAGATGTCCCAACTCGAGCAAGAGAGCAAATTTGCCCTTCTGCCTTTTTTGTTTTATTCGGGCCCTCAGTGGATTAATTGATGACTGGCTGTGTTGGTGAGGGTGGTTCATCCTTTTGACTCAGTCTGCAGGCCAAATGCTAATCTCTTCTGAAAACACCCTCACAGGCACACCCAGAAATAACGTTATCTGCTTATCCCTTAGCCCCGTGGTCGGCAAACTGCGGCTCTCGAGCCACATGCGGCTCTTTGGCCCCTTGAGTGTGGCTCTTCCACAAAATACCACGTGCGGGAACGCACGTACAGTGCGATTGAAACTTCGTGGCCCACGCGCAGAAGTCGGGATTTTGTGGAAGAGCCACACTCAAGGGGCCAAAGAGCCTCATGTGGCTCACGAGCCCCGGTTTGCCGAGCCGCAGTTTGCCCACCACTGCCTTAGCCTGATCAACTTGAGACATAAAATTAACCATCACATAATGTATGATGCTTAAAATTTGACAATTTTACCTCTCTGCCACAGAATGAAGACTAATCTGAATATTCCCTTACATTTCCTAATAAAGAAAGAAAATCAAGATTTTTGTCTTACCACTTACGTCCCTTGCTTCCTGATTGGTTCTCAAACAAATAGAGTAAGAAGTTTAATCATTTGTGATCTCTCCCTATGTAGATTTTCTATTCTGTTTCAATGCTGGATACTCTATTGCTGTCTTTTTTGGGGGGAGCGGGGAGGGGAATACCAGCTTACACTTAAAGCTTTTTAAAATTATTATGCCTGTTCCTTTTGATTTTAATGATTTCATTTAAGTTATGGTGCCCAGACAATTCCAGAACTATAAGAAGAGAGGATGTTATTCTCAATTTTTTATAGATACTAATCTGTTGAATTATTTTTCTTTAAGATGTCAGGGTTCCATTTTCTAGTTATAAGTTTTGGGTATTCTTTCAATTTCTTAAGCTCCATTTAATCAGTTCTCTGCATCAGTTGCAGCTGCCTTCCTTAAAAGCCTGAAAGGTAAGACATGGTTGATGCACCAAGCAAATGAACACCCTCAACTTTTTATCCTAAATCATGTAAGTAGATTTTTCTCTTCTCTCCTGAGTTCCAACCGGGCTCACGTTGGTGTTTCTGAGTTGAAGCCATTGTAAGTAAAAGCTGCATTTAGTCTAAATCATCCCAAGGTGATGGGAGCCAGGAGAGTGGTAGAGGAGGGAATAGAGGTGTTGTATATGCATGTGTAGGCTGTGCCCTGATGGGGTGTTCTGCCCACTTAGAGGTAGGAGAACCTTATTCTTCACACAAAGAGCTGTAGGCTCAACAAGCTGTGTCATTCTTGTAATGTGCTATGGAGAATTCTATCTCTTTGACTTTTTATTTTATTTTATTTTTTAAAAAAATATATTTTATTGATTTTTGACAGAGAGGAAGGGAGAGGGATAGAGAGTTAGAAACATTGATGAGAGAGAAACATCGATCAGCTGCCTCCTGCACACCTCCTACTGGGGATGTGCCCGCAACCCAGGTACATGCCCTTGACCGGAATTGAACCTGGGACCCTTCAGTCCTCAGGCGGACGCTCTATCCACTGAGCCAAACCGGTTAGGGCTCTCTTTGACTTTTGAAAACATTGAGGTGAAATTCTTTTAATCATATGTTTTGGCTGCAGAATATTGGACCACTTAGTAGCAAAATAAAGAAAAGCCCCCTTTTAAAAGACCATTATTAAAGGCATAGTAATGAAAACCCACAGTGCTATGCCACATGTATTGAGATATTGGAAAATTCCAGTATCAATAACAAGTTTAAAAGAAAATAACTCTTCAACAATGACTTCATCACTGAAGAATGAAAATTTTTATTAAATTCCTAACCCAATGAGCTGTTGAAGTATTTCAGGAGATATTGATGGTAATCTATCATGCCGTCTTTTCAGATTGTAGGACTTCGGTTGATATCCAGGTCTATGAAATACTTTGGTCTTCTGTTATACATTACTTGACATCTTAGGGAATTATGCAGCTTCATGACAAGAGGTTGCAAGCTGGGTTATGAGTATATAGAGTTCAGAAGTTTGTTGAGACTCTAACATTGGTTAGTTTGGATGTGCCGTTTTCTCAGGATTCCCATCAGAAGGAGGTATTTCAGCAGGTGGGCTCGCAGCAGTAGCAGCAGCAGGCTGGGCGGCAGCAGGACTGTCCACAGTAGGATGGGCGGCAGCAGGCGGCCTGGGCATGGTGCAGCTGGCAGCAGGTTGGGGGGGTGCAGCTCACCACACAGCAGGGGGGCAGGCAGGTGTCCTCCACGCGGCAGTCAGGGCGGCACCACCTGGTGCGGCAGCTCACACCTCCACAGCCACAATCCTGGCCACAGCCAGTGCCACAGCCGGTCCCACAACAGCTGGTCTGGCAGCAGGTTGGCTGGCAGCAGCTGGTCTGGCAGCAGGTCGGCTGGCAACAGCTGGTCTGGCAGCAGCTTGGCTGGCAGCAGCTGGGGCCACAGGTCCCACAGGAGCAGCTGGGAAATCCACAGAAGCTAGTTTGACAGCAGGCCATGGTGTCAGGAGTTGGGTTGAGAGATGGGTTGTTCGGAGGAGTTTCTGAGTTAAGGCTGCTTGTTCCACTGGGGCCTTTTATAGGCTTTGGCCAGTTCTGTGTCATGGATAGCATTTTTATCTTGTTACTCTTCAAACAAGCTTTCCCAGGGCCCTCTGATTATTCAAATACCGAGTTATTTTAAATAAATGTCCAAATTGGTTTTTCCTTATTGCTCAGCTGGTAGTACTCACCAAATGTGTTCAGTTGTTTTTTTGTTTTGTTTCCAAACAATGCTGTAATTTTTACTTGACAAAGTGACTCTCATTCACCAAAACTCAAGTCTTCAGAAAAAAAATTTTAGCCGTTGACTGTTATTGTTAACCATTGCCTTTATGTAAGGCTATCTCCCCTCCCCCCAAATATATATTTTTTAATTGATTTCAGAGAGGAAAGGAGAGGGAGAGAGAGATAGAAACATCAATGATGAGAGAGAATCATTGATCGGCTGCCTCCTGCATGTCCCACAGTGGGGATTGAGCCTGCAATCCCAGGCATGTGTCCTGACTGGGAATAGAACCGTGACCTCCTGATTCATAGGTCGATGCACAGCCACTGAGCTATGCTGGCCGGGCTATGTAAGGCTGTCTTTATATTTGTTTAGATTAATAAGATATCAGTCTCTACAATCACCCACATAGAAACTCTGATAAACTCCACTTCATAGAAATTCATAGATCTTTCTAGAAATTGGATCTTTCCAATTTCTATGCTCTCTCCTGAACTTCAGCCTTGAGGAAACATTTATCACTCAGGAGGATATATGGAAGAAAACCTGTTCCATTCCAATTTACTATGGATATTTTGTTATCAAAAATTTAAAATAAGAGCTAAAATTCATATCTAGTAATTAGGAAAAAAATCACAAAAAAATTTTAAGTGTAATTTATATTTCTATGAAACATTGAAATCATTGCTATCCAGTTTATCTGGATAGTATTGATTTCTCAGAGGTGGGATTCATGTCAGTTTACATCATTTTATTTAACTACACCTTGTGTCTTATGGAAGAATATCAGACCAAAGAGCAAAACAATTTAATTTATAAGGGAGAACCAATAAAAGAAATAGCAGGAACTTGGAAATACTTTTTCTGGATCACAGTGCTTATAAGGCAGGACAGTAAATGGATGATCAAATATTGTTTAATATGTGCAAAGTAAAATGGAAACAATTCCTGGTAGTTGCTAAAAGAAAAAAAAAATTGATGTTTATGGTTACAGGGGGAGAAATGAAAAAAAGTTATGGCCAAAAGAACATAGTGTTGCTACTTATGGCAGCCTTATTCCTTCCTTCCAATCATGAATAGAAGTACATAGTTAGCTTTTATGGGGTAGAGGTGTTGGTTAGTACAAGGATAGAATTAAAAAGTGATTCATGCCAGTGTCAATAAAGATGTTCATGTCATATGATACCCATGACTGTAGGTATGAAGTTGAAAAATGGTTAAATGGAATCATTACATATTAGAGATCCAAACCTTAATAAATCATGTTCAACCATTTAATTTTATAGGTACAGAAACTGACATCATTCTTTTTATAAATAGCACATGTTTATTAAATCCTATTATGTATGAGGTACTAAAGGGTTATGTAGAAAGCAAAACCTAATCTGCTTGCCTCACATTTTTCTCTAGTGCACAAATCAGTATAGTATTGATAGGAGGGATTAACCAAGGAAAAGAGTCAAATAGAGACCCATTTAATCTCAAAGTTCTAAATTGGGACATTGGTGCTAATGTTATGAACTACTTTTAATTCCTTCTGAACACCAGTTGATGTTTAAATACCATTGAGTCTAGGAATGGCTGCATTTTGGAGAGGTTATTGACTTGCTACTTTCACATAGCCAGTACATAGCCACATTCACATAGGCAGTACATAGCCAGAAGAGCTGGGTATAAAATGCTTATTTTTCGCTTCTAAATCTGTTCGTCTTATTTTCTGCTGCTGTCCAGAATTAGAGTTAGTAAAATTTTTTGTCTTCTGTTTTAAAAATATTTTACAATAGCTCAAGAATGTGAATATTACTGGAAGGCAGAATACACGGTGGAGTAGTGATTTTAAACACACAGTAAATAAGCATAAATATGTTAACATTCTTTCAGGTGTCTGCTGATCAAAAGAGTTCCCTCTAGAACTGCAGTAAATCACATTTGCTTCCTAATTGTTTCTTATTTCCCACATTGAGACTAGCTAATATTCCTTCGGAGTTTCTAGGTCTGCCATCCTCTTTGTGTCTTCTTTATTCTGTTGCCATCATCTTAGTTCAGCTCTCAGTTTGTTTCTGTATAGTCATCATATGTATAGCCTGTGGTCTTCTGTTTTTATAAGCAGTAACCATAGGAACTGCCCCAACGTCCAACTCCTGTCATGCCATTCCCCTGCCTCAAGGCTTTCAACAGCTCCTTAGTGCTTTTGCCCTAAGGGTATACTCATTTGGTTAATATTCAAAGCACACAAATTATCCAAATTTACCTTCCACTGTTAGTCTACATATATCCAGTGCTCCCAGGCAACTCTTCTGTGAACAACCTGTCTATACCTTTGTGCATACTGTTTCCATAGTTGAGAATGCCATCTTCCCTCAGAACTGTACCCCCAAATCTTAATGTTTATAAAATGCTGGGTTCTCCTTCCAGTCTTTCTTGTTCTCCAATAGTGACTTCTTGTTGATACCAAACAGGGTGTTGTATTTTGTTTTTTTTCATATTCTAATTTTTAGTTGAGTGATTATTAATTTGATTCACCTTTCTGGAAGTTTCTTGAAGAGGGGAACATCTTAAAGTTAATTTTACTTTCTATTATATACCGTACCCTGTGTAACTTGCAGATGGTAGTCAGCACATTTATTAAAATTTAATGAACAGAATTAGGATGAATAAGTAAAACCAAAGCTGTGATTGCTAGGCCAAAGAAGAGAAGTTTATTAGAAACCAAACATGCCAGAAAGACCTGAGATCTAAGATGGAAAGAAAGAAGTTGCTACTATTACAAAGACTTGAGAACAGCCCAAATCTTAATAGATGAGTTTGGATCTCCATGCAACTTCTGGCTGACTTGAGGTCTTAATGGCTCAGGGCAGGAGTTTCGTTGGGTAGAGAAGGTTGATTGCTTGCTCTAGGCAGCTCAGCAGCAGCAGGAGGGGCAGGTCCTGCAGGTGGTGCGGCAGGGGGCAGGCTGGCAGCAGGGGGGCCGGCAGCAGGGCGCCTGCACACAGATGGGCTGGCAGCAGGTGGAGGCCCAGCAGCAGGGGCGGCAGACAATGGCCGTGCAGGATGTGGGGCAGCAGGCGATGGGGCGGCAGCAGCCCTCCTGCAGGCCACAGGGGTCACAACAGATGGGGCGGCGGCAGGGCTCGCAGATGGGGCGTGTGCATCGGGTCACACAGGTCACGGGGCGGCACACGGTGGTCTGGCAGCAGCAGGGGCGGCAGCAGCAGGGGTCTCGGCAGCAGCAGGGCTGGCAGCAGGGCTGGCAGCAGCCTCCCCCACAGCTGGAGCAGGTGGAGCCACAGCAGGAGCCGGTCATGTTGGTGTCTGGGGCTGGGCTGGGTTGGACTGGTGAGAGGAGTTGGGTGTTCTCAGGTGTGAATGTCTTCCTCCCCTGTGGGGTCCTTTATATACCCTGGCCTGGTGCTGATTACCCCTCTTGTTTATCTTTTGGCCAATTAAGTAGAAGTTGTTTTGACTAATGGTTGCATTGCTCATGACAGACTCATGATCTCATTAAAGAACTATTTTTGTACATTAAATATTGGTATATTCTTGCTGTTTATCATCAAAATTTAAACAGTCACAGTCGTTTCAGGTGATAGCAACTCTTGATGCTCATTTTGAGTAGATAGCATCTGATGAATCCTGGACAAATGGTTCTGTAGGAATTGTAATATTTAAAAGAAATTAAACGTAATATAGGGGTTTATAGAACAATGACTAGATCCTAACCTTGACCCTCAAGAGCTCTCTGAAAAGCCTTCATGTTAATCACACAGGTATTGCACGTGTCCTTCCTTGGAACTACATATTACTTGCTATAATGGAATGTATGTGTACTTTGAATAAGACTTCAGCTCATATACTTGTATGGGAAGCGCAAAACTTTGTTTTTGTAAACCACGTAAGTATTGGAATAAAGCATCCAAGGCTGCCATCTATTTTTTATTTCTTTTCTCCAGTTCATGCTGTGCATATCTCTGGTCCTTCTGATCACAGAAAGCTGATCATGAGACATGGCATTTTAAAAAATATGTATATATTTTTTTATTTCAGAGAGGCAGGGAGAGGGAGAGATAGAAACATCAGTGATGAGAGAATCATTGATCGACTGCCTCCTTCATGCCGCTTGCTGGAGATCAAGCCTGCAACCTGGGCATGTGGGGAATCAAACCATGACTTCCTGTTTCATAGGTTGACGCTCAGCCCCTGAGCTATACCAGCGGGGCAAGAGATATGGCATTTCTTTATACTTGGTTTCCTTGTGTATGTGATCAAGAATGATGTCATGAGAAGCTTTTTCTTAATTTACCTGCACATGGTGCTATGACTAAGAAGTGACAAGATGGGGGTTTCCCACCAGCAATGCAAACATGTGCAATACCTTATTCAGAGGCATTGCCTTGGGAGGCCACACAGCTGCCCTGCGATGGCTCTGCTAGACATGTGATGGACATGCTTCCCCTGGAGGCAGAGGCAAAGGCAGAGGCAGAGGCAGAGGCAGTAAGGAATTGCCTGGAAACAATCTCATTACTTCCTATTATTCACTAGCCAGGGTTTGGGATCACTTCAGGATCTTTCTCGTTATTCAAAAGAATGTGCCTTGGGCCCCAGGAGCTAAAGCTCCCTAAATGGAATTTCAAACATAATTTCAAAACTTTGAAAGGAATGTAAAATGACTAAACATATAGTCACCACTGGGGAAAACAGAGGAGGGAGAAGTCAAGCAGTCTCATCAGTGAAGACCTTTGCGTCGCTCACATGTCACATTCTTTCTCTTGTCCATAGACATATGTGATTTTTTTCAAAGCAGTAACCAGGGCCTAGATAAAAACTTGTATATTCTGCTCTTCCCTCCCCACAAGTTTATTAAGGTATAATTGATCTATAACATTGCATAAGGAAGATGTATATTGTGACGACTTGACACATACATGTTGCAGAATGTTCACGCCAGTAAGGTTAATTAACATATCCATCGCCTCACATGATTATTTTGTTGTTGTGGTGGTGGTGAGAACATCAAAGCTCTGCTTTCATAGCAACTTTCAGGTATACAGTATAGTATTGTTAACCACATTGTATTGTATGCTGTACATGTCGATCCCCGAACTTACTCATCTTATAACTGAAAGTTTGTATCCTTTGACCAGCATCTCCCCATCTCTCCTACACCTCAGCCCCTGGCAACCACCTTTCTGTGCTCTGTTCCCATGAGTTCTATGATTTTGGTTACATATATAATGCCATTAATGCCCAAAGTTCAGAGATAAGCAGCCCTTGGGAGTTGGTGTGGATTTACAATCCACAAGAGTCAGCACTGTGAATAACATTCTAAGTAATAATCATATCATTAACATCGCAGGGAATGCATTATTCAGGTGCAGTTTACACTTGGTCACAGAAGATGGGAGAGCTCCTCTGGGCAGAGGAACTACACTAAAGGGCTTATCAGACTTAAAGGCTTGTTGTCGGGGGGGCTTGACTCTCCTGGGTCTTTTGTGAGCCTTGGTGATTATAATTACACTAGGGGCCTGGTGCACAAAATTTGTGCACAGGTAGGGTCCCTAGGCCTGGCTGGCAATCAGGGCCAATCTGTGGGGAAACCGGCGGGGTGATCGGGGGGGCCCCCCACTGGCACCCGCCTTGGCCGCATTGGGGCCTGTGGGCTGGGGGCAGCTCCTGCATTGAGAGTCTGCTCCCTGGTGGTCAGTACGCATCATAGCAACCGGGCATCATAGCGACCAGGTGTTCTGCTGTTCAGTCAATTTGCATATCAGGCTTTTATTATATAGGATTAAAATTATATTAGTCAGAATTTATTTAATCTCTCATTGCTCCTCAGCTTCAAAACCAGATGATTGGCCAGATGTCACCTAAGATTCCTTTTACCTTTAAGGTACTGGGCTTTCTATGCTGTGCTAACAGGTGCCAGGTCAGTGAAAGAACCCTCGGACTGGGACTCTATATGTCAGACAAGAGCAGCCTCCTTACTGATCATTCGGAAGGTGTTTTGTGTGTCTGAATAATGAGCACAAGTAACTCTCTACATGATGAAAATATAGCCATGTCCACCTTCCTCATCAGCTCCTGGGCCTTATAAATGCCGTTTACAAGGATAACAAGGAAACTAAGCAGACGTAGATTATTGTATAAAACAACGTAAGAGGCTTATTTGGCATCTTGTTTTGAAGTTCTCTGGTCAAAACAGAGAGACAGAAATCCACTGAAAGGAAATATCACAAAGACCATGATTCCTAGGCTGTGAGCACAATGTTTATTAGAAAACAGACACCATGATTTGGAGCTAGACCAGGATCTTGAGAAGACAGGGTGCTCTTCATTGGTAGTTAGCTTGGAAAGGTGTCCCCAGTGTCTCTATGAACTATTTGAAGAAATGAGAAATGGTCTTCTCAAGAAAAGCCATGTTGTTCTGCAGTGAAGCTAAGGGACAGCAGGATGGACCCAGCCATCTACTGAGGGGCCTTAGGGATGATGCACAGCTCAGCAGCAGGAGGGGCAGGTCCTGCAGGTGGTGCGGCAGGGGGCAGGCTGGCAGCAGGGGGGCCGGCAGCAGGGCGCCTGCACACAGATGGGCTGGCAGCAGGTGGAGGCCCAGCAGCAGGGGCGGCAGACAATGGCCGTGCAGGATGTGGGGCAGCAGGCGATGGGGCGGCAGCAGCCCTCCTGCAGGCCACAGGGGTCACAGCAGATGGGGCGGCGGCAGGGCTCGCAGATGGGGCGTGTGCAGTGGGTCACACAGGTCACGGGGCGGCACACGGTGGTCTGGCAGCAGCAGGGGCGGCAGCAGCAGGGGTCTCGGCAGCAGCAGGGCTGGCAGCAGGGCTGGCAGCAGCCTCCCCCACAGCTGGAGCAGGTGGAGCCACAGCAGGAGCCGGTCATGGTGGTGTCTGGGGTGGGGCTGGGTTGGACTGGTGAGAGGAGTTGGGTGTTCTCAGGTGTGAATGTCTTCCACCCCTTCAGGACCCTTTATATACCCTGGCCTGGTGCTGATGACCTCCAGGACATACGGTTATTTCCTTGTTTTTGTTTATTTATTTTGAAATGGCACTGATAGGCTAGTAAATTCTTTGGACACTGTTTTTGGTGCTCAGGTACTCAGAAAAGACTGCTTGTTTTCCTTTTTTAGTCAAGACTCATTATATTTTGCTATTTATGGTTCAAATCTGTACTTAAGGACATTAACTTCAAAGTCTCCAATTATCTTTATAATTTAGCGATGCTTTTACCAATTGGTGTTTTGATAGCACAAACGTAGCTGTCGTGCTCTTAGGGTTACTGACTGAGCGTGGAAGTGGGTTCCCCAAGTTGAGTGTCCTTTAGCACTGCTAAGCCTCCTGGGCAAAACAAGTTCAGAAAAATACTAAGGAATGTTTTTAAAGTCATGGTTTGTCAGGAAAAGAAGAATTTTTCAGTCTGTGTGTTGGAGCTACAGAAATGCATCTTCATAAACTTCTATCATCAATGTTTCTTTTTATTCCATTTTTAAAAAATATTTGGTAAAATCCATGTGACATAAAATTGACTATCTTTGCCATTTTTGTGTATACAGTTCAGTGGCATTAAATACATTCATATTATTGTGTAATCATTACCACCATCCTTCTGCAGAACTCTTTCATCTTGTAAACTAAAACTCTACCTTTAAACACCAACTGTCTCTCCAGCCCCTGGCAACCACCATTGTACTTTCTTTAAAAAAATTATCTTCTCTTTCCCTTCAAACCCAATTTATGGTAACCACCGTTCCATCCTATGAATTTGGGTTTTTTTTTAGTCTTAAATTACATGCTCATTGATTTTCATAATTATATATTCCCATAACAAGGTGAATTTCATTATTTATAACCTTCATGCTAGCCACTATCACTGAGTTCTAACTCTGTTCCAAACATTATGCAAAAGCAATAAAGGCATTAACTTTATTCTTTGTGCAATCCTATGCGGTAGGTATTATTATAGTCCTCATTTTACACATAAAGAACTAGAAAAGTGGCTTCCCTAAGGTCAAGTATTGTATAGATACCAATACTTACTCCAAAAACATCTGTGGGAACATTATTTGTAAGCCCAAGAAACTGAAGAATGGAATTGTGGGTATCATATTTCTTGTCATTAAGCAACGTCTGTTTTTATTTAGGAATATTATCAGTGAGTTTATTTTTATATCGTTGTTATATGTGAAATGGCTAATTTTTTTAGTCGCCTGAGAGGGCTCTATGTCTCACCAATATTAGGAATTGGGGGAATGATCTCCCAGGCAGCCTTCTCAAAATTCCTAAGGAGATAGTAATAAAAATTGGACATAATTGAGTAGCCATGGGGCACTATGAACAAAACCACAAACTAGATGCAATCCAGCATGACAAAATCCCTGGGTAGTGATCCCAGCCAGAGGTGGTCTCCAGGCCCGCCTAGTGCATACCCCAACACCTCTTGCTCCACTGTCTCCCCCTGTGCTATGTGAGCTTCTTCCTGCCTACAGAACCAGCTGTGATATTCAGTTGTCTCAAACTGTCACAGCCTGGAGGAGAATCTTGTCATTCAGCAACTTTACCGCTTCTGCCTCTGGATTTGCTTGGCTCTGACCTTTTGCTTTACTACCAAGTCTGTTCTAGGTCTGCGGCTGAGGCTCCAGCTGAAGCCTTATTCTTGATCATTCTGCTCGCACAGTCCCTTGCAACTTACCTAGACTTGCACCAGCCACCATGGCTGGCCAGGCATAAAGTTACTGTGGAAGCAAACATGATCCAATAATAATGATGACCCTGGGAGGAAACTAAGCAGTCTAAATCTGAGAAATTATTGGAAGATGAGGAAGTCTCTGGAAGGCTAACAAGAACAATTCTTGGATGAAGGAAAACAGATGAAGTTAGAGAATTTAAAAAATGGCAGTTAAGAGTATGTAGAAGGAAATTGGACCTGTGAGCCTATCCATTGGTAAACTATTAAACCCTTAGTAAAGAGAAAACTCCATTGTGCACGAACTGACAATGTTAATATTTTAATATAATGGAATTCCTGTTGAGGAACTTTTACCATATTTCAAGAAAAATACTGTTCCTCTGGAGATGGCTTGTTGTGTTAATGTAAGAATGTCCATGTCTAGCATGAGGAGATAGTTGGAGTCACTCTTCCAACCCTTAGAATTTATTCAATGATTCAACAAATAATTTCTGGTCATATACTATGTGCCAAATAACTGTGTAGGTCAGTGGGAATCCAGTAGTGAGCAAAGTCAGTTAAGATCTAGGCCTTCACAAAGCTTATCTTGCCTGACTGCCCTCACTGGGCAGTAGATATGTCCAGGCATACAGACAGCACATTGCAAAAAACTCCTATAGATCAGATGTTGGGAACTCAATACATATTTCTCAGTAACACAATAATAGTTTTCCTGGCCAGCCTCAAAGTTTTTAACAACAACATGTCCAATGGGGATTTATGTTACCACTATTTCAACTGCATTAGCATTGTTTTAATGGTAAAATTATTTGGAGTTCTAAATTGGAATGCTTCCAACCAAGGGACATTTCTCTCTTTCTGCTCAGCAACTGTGACTCCACTGAAATTGGAATTGACCATGGTGGTGTTGGTGGGAACCATGGAAAAAGCTGGGATATGGTCCTTCTAGCATAGGCACTCGATTGTTAGGGATTCCCAGGTACCAAGGGACATTAATCACTGTGTGGTTTCTGAATCAGGGAATTAGAGTTCTGATTTAGGCTTCCTCCCCATTCCCTCATGTGCCGATGATTCATGAGTCAGGTTCATGGTCAGAGAGACCTGCTGAAGTCTTTCCATTTCCTCAGCATCAGCACAAAACCTGTGGCTTGAAATATGAAGGTACTTAACATAAGATGTTCTGAATTATTTGAATTGCTATTAAAATTACAGACTAGGTACTGGAATTGTTTCTAAAGCTAAAAATATGGCCATGGAAAATCCTTTTTCCTTTGATTCTTCTGCATACTATAACTTAAGCAAAAACTAAGCTTTTGAAGATTAACAAGCAATGAAGAGAAACACATTTGCTTCCCAGAAGTAAAATTTTATTATTTTACCGTGCACAACACCAGCATAAATGTAATCTATTCATAGAAAAATATCCCATCTGAAACAGAGGAATGATGATGAGTCAGTAGGGTAGAGTCTCATTCAAGAGGAACTTTGGTCTTTGTATACTCATTCTTTTTAAAGCTACAAACTCAAATGATGAGAGTTGGAATCTTTCTAAAGATTCTCAAGGAGGGCCAGGATGAGCTGTTTAATTATATGGAAAATGGATAGACAGTTACTGTTGAGTTAGTTGTTGAAGAGCAGGTAGGTTGCAAAGGTACTATCTCTCATCTGACCCATTGGGGTGGGAAAATCTGTACATTTCTGAACACTTGGAATGTTTCCTGTGGGCAGCTCAGCAGCAGCAGGGGCAGGTCCTGCAGGTGGTGCGGCAGGGGGCAGGCTGGCAGCAGGGGGGCCGGCAGCAGGGCGCCTGCACACAGATGGGCTGGCAGCAGGTGGAGGCCCAGCAGCAGGGGCGGCAGACAATAGCCGTGCAGGATGTGGGGCAGCAGGTGATGGGGCAGCAGCAGCCCTCCTGCAGGCCGCAGGGCTCACAGCAGATACGGTGGCGACAGAACACAGCCGTGCAGGATATGGGGCAGCAGGCAATAGGCTGGCAGCAGCCCTCCTGCAGGCCACAGGGGTCACAGCAGATGGGGCGGCGGCAGGGCTCGCAGATGGGGCGTGTGCAGCGGGTCACACAGGTCACGGGGCGGCACACGGTGGTCTGGCAGCAGCAGGGGCGGCAGCAGCAGGGGTCTCGGCAGCAGCAGGGCTGGCAGCAGCAGGGCTGGCAGCAGCCTCCCCCACAGCTGGAGCAGGTGGAGCCACAGCAGGAGCCGGTCATGGTGGTATCTGGAGTTGGACTGGTGAGAGGAGTTGGGTGTTCTCAGGTGTAAATATCTTCCACCCCTCCAGGGCCCTTTATATACCCTGGTCTGGTGCTGATAACCGCCAGGACACAAGGTCATTTCCTAAAGCTGTGGTTGCCCATTGAAATGAGAACTCCAGATTGGTGGATTCAGCTGCTGAGGCAGCAATTCCAATATCACTGAAGGATGCTTTTCTTTCTTCCTGCTTTTCTCCTTGAAATGAATACTTGATGGTTTATAGCTTTAGCAAAATTACTCATTGAATAGCCAGCTTTTACAGACCATGTGACAAGTTGAAGAATCCAGTGTTGCCACCTATCACAGTTTTCTCTTGTTCACTATCCATGACCAAGTGTGAGACTATAATATTCACAGGCCTGATTTCTTGCAATGAGGCAAGAATTCCTAAAAAAAACAAAACCAAACCAAAAAACTAAAATGGCTCATAAAAGATGTGTAGCAGTTCTGCTATGAAAAGAATGGTGCAGTGCTTCAGTAAAACAACATGTTGCTTCTCCTTGTTTACATGGAAATAACCACCCAAACCACGAGAGTGGCATGGTTTTCGGCCATTTGAGCTGGCCTATTACTTAGTGACTCATGAGACACTTACTATGTAAACATTGCCATACTCTTTGGGGGGTGGAGAGGGAAAGGAAAGAAAAATAAGTCCTAAGTAGTTCCTGATCACACAGTAATTACACATTTTAGGAAGGCAGGACAAAGGCAGATACAGCAATTGAAGGAGAAGAACTCTTCATGGGACAATAAGGCCAAAATAAATGTGGATGTTATTGATTTTGTGTCTGATACGGTTTTAGAAATAAAATTTAAATTGAGGTATTCCTTGCTTTTTACGTGTGACATAAGCACACATATTGAGTTCTTCAGAGTATATTGAAAATATTTGTAAAGGAATCAATTATATTTCAGTAGTAGATGCTTAGGTTTGTTGGCTAAGGGTTTTGTTCCTTATGAAGGATGAAGTTGGGCTCCTGAAAAAGGCAAGGGGAATTAAGTGAACTGATGACTGATAACATAGCTTTGTCTTTTTTAGCCATGGCTAAGAAAAATGGGGGCATAGAAAATAAATGTATAGTTGGAAGTTAGGTTAAGATAACATTGTCCAAAGGATGCTGATGGCTGTCAGGCGGAATTTGTCTCCAAATTATATTTGGTTTGATTAAATCATTTTATACATTCTTTGGTCCACCAGAGTCCCAGTCCTTGAAGGCCTGTGACTTTGTGGACCATCGCACTCCACCACAGTTGTCGGAAAACCAGATCTGTAAGATGATTTCTCAGAGTCACTCAGATAAGAGAGTGGCAAAGTTTTAACAATACTACAGGGCTTTGTGGAGTATAAACACTGGCCAGACAGCATGCTCAGAAGTTGAGCATCAACCTCTGAACCAGAATGTCATGCGTTCGATTCCCGGTCAAGGGCACGTGCCTAAGTAGGGGGCTCCATGTCCAGTAGGGGGCATTCAGGAGGCCACCCATCAATGATTCTCATCATGGATATTTCTATCTCTCCCTCCCTCTACCTTCCTCTCTGAAAAAACAAAACAAACACTGGTGGTTGACTCCTCGTTTTTGCCCAATTCTGAGTCACTTCAAAGTAGTGAAAATGTATTAGTACTTATCAGAAATTCTATCCCATCTAGTGAAATAAAATAAGAACTTGCTTGATTTATGGTTTAGCATATTGTTGTCTGGCTTAGACTATATACAGAGATCCAAATATTAGGAACAGGAATATATCTGTTATTTTATTCAATGTGATTTGTATTTTTAACTAACAAAAATGCGTAGTACTAAGAAATCTTGCATTTTAAAATTACAGACTGTCAGAAACTTGGCTGTCTGAAGTCACCTCTGTACGAGCCCACCATTTCCTGACCAGGATCTTAGTCACCTTAACACAGAGAAACAGCCTTCGTATCCCACCCAGAGGCAGAGTTTCAGGTAAGAGACCTTCAGACACGACATTCGCATTTATCTTAGCTACACAGTATCTGAAGGAAGTATCTGAGTCCTTTTCACGGGCCAGTCCTGATGCTAATTCTTTTGCACAAAGCCCTATTCTGCTTTGAGCCGAGCAAAACACCATTTCATGCAATTTCACCTACAACCACTATTTCTCAGAATCCTACAGAAACCTTTCCTCTCCTTTTGTTCGGTGGTCCTATACTGTGTGGTTTCCTTCACTGTAGCACATTAATGGGCCCACGCTTATGGGGCAAGAGATGTGTCCCTGGTCTTCATCACGGGGGGTTTTGTGTCATATCATTCAAATTACAGGTTCTGCAAGAACACAATTACCAGACCGGGAGCAAGTAAATGTTAACCGTGGTGGTGATCAATGGTAGGATATTTTGTGGTTGGATTGAAAAAGAATGTAGTGTTGATGACTTTTTGTGATGCTGACCCGTGCCCTCATCCTAATAGTTTCCTGAGCTGTGTTTTGGTAGGAACTAGTTGTAGGGCCACTGGATGTTAGGACACTTTTAAAATTATGAAAACAGAATATGCATTCCCTGTCCTCCAAAGTGATCTTTAAAATATCCTCCAATCATAAGCGTTAGAAATGGGGATGGGAAAGATTAACGGGAAGGGATGGGAGGAGGATGGGGAAGACAAAGAAGGATTCAGATCCTTCCTCCACCACCAAGCAGTTGTGTGACTTAGAGCAAGTGCTTACACCCTGCTAGCCCCCGTTTCCTCATCTGTGAAATGGCAAGAATTCACAGGCCAGGTTTATCATAGAATCTACACAAACGTGAAAGACGGAAGAGATGGCTATCATTCATTGAGAAAAGAAAATACTTTAATTGGAAAAGACAGAAAACTCTAGATGATCAGGGAATTGGTAGGATTCATTTCTGGAATTTAAGGAAGAAATATATCTTCTAAGTGGCTTAGATATTCATCTGCTAAAGCCAGGGAAAATGAAACCAGGTCATCTTTTGGCGTCTCTTATAGCTTGGGGTTGTTTGATTCCTTTGGGTGCCTCAGGGTGAGAGGAAAGTCTGTCTGATGCATATATTTTCCCCCGGCTCGTTTTTGCTCCCGATGCTAAACCCCTATTTGCGAATCCTGTAATTTAGGACTCTTTCCTGTGGACTTGTAGGACATCTTTTAAAGAGCCCTTTCATTACAAGACAGTCTCGATCTGATGATGAAGTTTTTGGCCTTCTCTATTATATTTATTAGGAAATTTATTTCTGCCAGTGGATGTGGACTATCCTGGAAAGAAAAAAGCCTTCCCTGAATACTTTCCCACTCTCCATGACATGATATATAATAAATATCACATATTTTGGCTCATATGATATAGTGATGCTCATATGTGCAACAAGGAATATAAATGAACTAGAGGCCTGGTGCACGAATTCATGCACCAGTGGGGTCCCTTGGCCTGGCCGGTGGGATCAGGCCGAAACTGGCTCTCCGACATTCCTCAAGGAGTTCTGGATTGCGAGAGGGCGCAGGCCAGGCCGAGGGACCCCACTGGTGCACAATCGAGGCCAGGGAGAGATGTGGGACGTTGGCCAGCCAAGGAGGGACCGTGGGAGGGCTCAAGGGCATTTCACTCAGTCCCAATCGGCCGGACCCCAGCAGCAAGCTAACCTACTGGTTGGAGCATCTGCCCCCTGGTGGTCAGTGCACGTCATTGCGAGCAGTTGAGTGGTCTTAGCATATCATTAGCATATTACTCTTTGATTGGTTGAAGGGCCTACCCGTCAACTGGACACTTAGCATATTAGGCTTTTATTATTTTTGACTTCCCCAGCAATCTACATTGATTAGCATTAATTTTCCTGTTTTGCAGATGAGGAAACCTGAGGGTGGGAAAAGTTAAGTTATGCCAATGCTGAAGTTTTTGCTTTAAGTAAATATCTACCTTTTAGAATTCTTGTCATAAAGACAATTCCCTTCTAATTTAGTTTGATTCAACAAAGAGATTCTATTCTAAACATTGAACGCAGTGCTGGGAGCCAGAATGAATTAACTGTTTTTTTTCTTGGAGGAAGAGAAGTAGATAATCTCAATGCAATGCCTTATGGGGAGGGAGATAAGCATGGGATCACAGGATGCTATTGGCATATGTTAGGGCACCTAACCTAGCATGCTGTGTGTGTGTTTGTGTGTGTGTGTGTGTGTGTGTGTGTGTGTGTGTGTGTGTGTATGTGGTAGAGGGGTTAAGAGAAGACTGAGTTGAACTTGGAAATGGATCATAGTTAGGTAAGTGAAGAAGGTGGAGGGGAGAGGAAGGTGAAAAATGAAAGAACATGATAAAAGCAAAGACAAATGGAACAGCATGGCATGTGTCAGTTACTGTGAGAAATTTAGTGTTGCTTAGTGAAATTTAGTGAGGAGTGTTAAGACATGAACCTTGAGACAGGGACAAAGGACAGGCTTGGAGGGCCTGGTGTGCATAGATTTCCTACCCACGTGAGCAGCCTGAGGCCCGCCTGGCTGTCCTGTACCACTGCTCAAGAGTCATACCAGGACCCCTAGCACCTCTCTTTCCCTCTCCTGTCTGTCTCTTTTTCCTTTTTCCTCTTCACTCTCCTTCCTGTTCCTCATCTGCTCATCTGTGTACACTAATAAATGAATCAGGTAGCCGTGAGGTTTACAGGAAAAATTAGTTTATTGAAAACAAGTGAGCAGCACATTACAGATGATGCTGGGAGGCTTTGAGCAGCCTCCAGAGTTCAGGATGGGTTTGCCAAGTCCACTACAGGGACTTGTAAAGGTGGGCTTGCCATCCATGGTGACTTCTGCTGATGGGGACACTGGGAATTTGGCTGAGAGTGGAGATAGAGATCTCCTCATGTGTCCAAATGGTAGGATATAAAAATGACGATTGTCACTTTATGGAAAAATCTGTTTTTCTTTCAATTTGATTAAAATGCAGAATAGGTGCTTAGGCTTCAGTGAATTGATCTGTGGGGACCATAGAGTTTCAGCAGCAGCAGGAGGGGCAGGTCCTGCAGGTGGTGCGGCAGGGGGCAGGCTGGCAGCAGGGGGGCCGGCAGCAGGGCGCCTGCACACAGATGGGCTGGCAGCAGGTGGAGGCCCAGCAGCAGGGGCGGCAGACAATAGCCGTGCAGGATGTGGGGCAGCAGGCGATGGGGCGACAGCAGCCCTCCTGCAGGCCACAGGGGTCACAGCAGATGGGGCGGCGGCAGGGCTCACAGATGGGGCGTGTGCAGCGGGTCACACAGGTCACGGGGCGGCACACGGTGGTCTGGCAGCAGCAGGGGCGGCAGCAGCAGGGGTCTCGGCAGCAGCAGGGCTGGCAGCAGCAGGGCTGGCAGCAGCAGGGCTGGCAGCAGCCTCCCCCACAGCTGGAGCAGGAGGAGCCACAGCAGGAGCCGGTCATGTTGGTGTCTGGGGCTGGGCTGGGTTGAACTGGTGAGAGGAGTTGGGTGTTCTCAGGTGTGAATGTCTTCCTCCCCTGCGGGGTCCTTTATATACCCTGGTCTGGTGCTGATGACCCCCAGGCCACAGGGTCACGTGCTGGTTAATTTCCTGGCCAATTAAGTGAGGATTTAGCATTGACTAATGGAGCTTTTGGTTATCCTCGCCTCATACCTGTACATGCACCCATACCACAAATGTTTTTCCTTTTTCTGTATTGTTTATTCTCACCAAATCTTGAAATTGGATTCGACTCTGATGAATTTCCTTGTGAATATTTCTAAATGAAAGAGAAAAGAATGTGTTTTCTAAACCAGTATAGTTTCTAATCACTCTGCCCTGTGGCCCTAAAGTTAGTATTTTATTCATGGACTTCAAAGAGACTCATAATTACTCCCCAAACAGTGACTTGCCTCCTCTACATGCATGCACGTGACAGTACCAGGTTAATAGCAGCACCCCAGTGCCTACCGACAGTCATCTGCTTCCCAGATGTCTCTTCCCACCACTCACTGAAAGGCAGGTTTTCTCAGGAGGAGGGACCACATGGCACCCTGGATCTCTGCCACCCTGGTTCAGTAACTCCTCCCACCCCTGGGCTGTCCTACCTGTTGTCCTCCACATTCACCTGGAATGCCATTCTCATCCTTCCAACCCCAAATCAACATCTACCTTCATTGCAAAACCCTCACCGAGGATCTGCTGCAGTTTGTGTGTTTGTCATTTATTTGGGATTACTCATTGCATGTGTGCAATCCAGGAAGGGACTGGAGGTTGTGTAGGCCTATCCCCTCATTAAGAAGGGGTTATGGTCACACAGTGAGGTCCGGGATCCAGGTCTTCTCATTCCTCAGAGAGCATCCTCCATGAGATTTATGTTGACCAGGCTCCACCTGAGTCTTGGGATGGAAGAGAGACCGACTCAAGCCTTGAAGTAAGTAGTGTCATTAAAAGTGATAAGGGAAGATTATTAGGGAAATGCTTTACCCCATGACAGCTAGTCAGACCTGTGCATGAGCACAGAGGTTTCTCTCTGGGGATCAGCAGAGCTGGACTGTGGGGTACGGGGTGGGGGCCGCTTCTTTTCTGCACGTCAGTCTCAAAGTGTAGTCTGGTTTCCCTTGGGAACTCTATCTTACCTTTATAATGAGTGCCATAAATTTACTTCTTACCAGTGAAGTAGATCAACACTTTTATTTGGATTTGAATTAAAAAAAAAAGAAAGAAAGAAATCTGTCCAGTCAATCCCATTGACTCTAAGTGAAAAAAGGAGGGCCAAGAGCTTGCAGACCACCAAGCCAATGCTTTTTAATAGTCGTTTGTCCTAAAATTACCTTCTCTGCTTCGAGGGGAAGGCTTTTTGTTCTTGTCATGGGTAATTGGTTCTATTTTTGCTTTGATGATATTCTGGAAGATATAGATGTGAATTATACCAAGTTCATTCACTGTATTCCTTATGCCAAGATTTTCTCTTGGCTTCTTTATAACATTAGTTGATTTTTTTTTTTTTACTGTATAGATTAAATAATTCTCTGAGATAATGTGGCTAGAATTACATGCAATATTCTAGGCAAAGTCATATTATAATCTGGTATGAGGATAATATTTTCTGATTTGTTTACAAATAGCCTTTTTATTTAAGACCAACATTCTATGGCCATTTTTGGCCTCAGCCAAAACAGTCCTTTGAACTGATATCATATAGCATAATTTTATAAGGTATTTTCTTTTATTTTCTAACCAGGCTCTTACTGGAAGCTTACACCCATTTTCCTCTAAGTACAGTTTATGTTTTGTTTGCTGATATTGGATGTCAGCTTCCATTTTTCTTCCCACTGTGTAAGAACTTTAAGTTATGATTAGGGAGTATTTGGTATGTTCCAGGGCAGGGGTCCTCAAACTTTTTAAACAGGGGGCCAGTTCACTGTCCCTCAGACCGTTGGAGGGCCAGACTACAGTTTAAAAAAAAAACTATGAACAAATTCCTATGCACACTGCACATATCTTATTTTGAAGTAAAAAAACAAAACAGGAACAAATACAATATTTGTATTTGCATGTGGCCCGCGGGCCGTAGTTTGAGGACCCCTGTTCCAGGGACTGTGGTAGGTATCCTTACCTATCTTATCAATCATCATAACAATCGAGTTAGATATTATTACCTTCACTTTATAGATGAAGAATCTGAAACTTATAGAGGTTAACTAATTTGCCCAAAGTTACACAGCTCAAAGTCTGGATTCAGCTTAAGCATGGACAACTCTTAAGCCTGTGTTTTAACAAATATGCTTGCAAAAATGCATGGGATTGCCCTTCAGTATAACATAGTATTTCACTTTGTATTATTCATAAAAATGTAATTTTATCTATAAGCCCAGAAATTTATTAACCCATGTTCTTCAGAAAGTTTATTAAAATAAAACCAACCCTGGCACAAACACTTGGGCACTCCTTTATTTTTATCTTCTTTATAGAAAACTATCTGCTTAATCTTTTCATACTGATTGATTATTAAGCTAGTTTCTCATTGCCACCACAGTTGCATTAGTCAGCTGTTGCTGCATAACAAGCAACCACAAACTCTCAGAGTATACACTAACAAGTATTTATTTCTTAGTCACGTGTCTGCAAGTCAGTTGGGTTTTGGCTGTTTAAGGCTGGCCTTGCCTTTTGGCTATGGGTTGGTTTTGAACTTTTTTCCAAATTAGAGTTGCCAGATTTAGCAAATAAAAGTACAGGTAACTCAGTTAAATTCCGTTTTTAAATAAACCACAAATACTTTTTTAGTAACAGACATGTAAGTAGTCATTGTTTATCTGAAATTCCACTTCTGTGAGCTGCGTCCTGTATTTTCACTGACAACCCTACCTCTGACAGCACCAGCACCAGGAAGCAATCCCAGTCATGCCAATATATTTCAGGTCTTTGCTTGGGTCATGTCCTCTAACATCCCATTGGCCAAAGCACGTGACTTGGTGAAGTTCAAACCATGGGGTAGGGGGTGGGAGGGGCTTCCACTCCTTCCAGGGGGTGTGAGGGGAAAAGAGTAAATATTAATGAGGAACGATATCACCTACCAGCGCAGCGAATTAGTTAACTTCATAATCTTTGTTGTGGAGGTTGGATACAGCCTCCTAGAAAATCAAGTTAGATTATGTTGACTAGGTCTCCATTTACGAGGTAACTTATATTCATTGTCTTCTTCTTTCTGGTCAGCCAAGAAATGTCGTTGATTAAACAAAGACTGCCTGATTTCTCTATAAGAAATTCATGTTGTCAGCCTCCTGTTAGTTTATGTTTGATTAGATGTCCAAAAGAGAAACACCAATTTTATGAAAATGTCTTTTGAGTTAATCAAATATTTAATTAGAAATTATATTTCATTGCCTAATGTAAGTACCACTTATTCCAGTGACTAACAGGTGAAATTTTCTTTTGGGAAAAATTAATGAAGGACTTCAGTAACACAGATACTAATCAAGTATGAAATCCTCTTCTGAAAACCTATATATGGAGATTCTGGATATAAGTTTTAAAGTAATAAATTTCTGAGCTTAAAGGAAAGAAAATGAAAATCCCCAGGTGCCAGAATGAAGAAGGAACTTAAGATCAGACTGTTCCATCTGGGATCTGGTGCTGCAATTTTCTTAGGATATGAACTAATGACTCCGGGCCAGGGTTTTAACTTCCTCCCGGGGCCAAAAGCCTTTTCTTGGGGACCATTTAAACCTGAGACTCTGGAGGGATCTCTCATCTGACATAGGAGAACTGGATAATCTCAATAAGAGAAGCCCAGTTCATCTTGTTCTTTGGTGAATGTCAATTGAAGAAATAACAATTCTATATTCAGAATTGAAAGCTTACAATTTAAGTGAGTTTGGATTCCAGTTTTAGACTTCTCTGTGGTGTGGGAATCCCAAGCTGAGGAAATTATTTGTCTCAGGCCAGAGAAACCCCTGGGTCTCCCAGCAGTAGCAAACTCAAACCATCATGAGGATGGAGGTCCATTTCCCTGCGTGATACGTCATTTTTTTTTTTATCATGAGTTAATCTTCAGGAATTGTTTGTATTATAAGAATTTCATTTTCCTTGGATGTGGAAGTGCCCTTGTGCTTTCATTTTTTATAAATCAACCAATTATCAGTCTTACATCTGAATAGTGCGACTTCTGCTCTTCTTAGTTTGTTTGGTGTTATGGTGACAACTCTGACTTTTCTCTACTTCTTCATCCATGTGATTGCCTACCCTCTCCCCCCCGAACCTCTGTGGTTCATTTGGATGACAGTGAAATAGTGGCTCCCCAAGCCTTTGCATGGCATTCCTTGGTCAGATCACTTGGTTGGGGGAGGAGATGGAGGACACTGGACAATAATTATTCCTTTAACCCAAAGTAAAGATCATCTTTGGCAGGTGACCCGATTGTAGTATGTCTTCCTAAATTAAAGAGATGTTCTGAATTTTCTGTCTTTTGAGAATCACAACTCTACCTCTGTGTCTCTTTTAGCTTCTACTGCAAAATTTCAATAGTCTTAATTTGTTTATAAAAAAGAAGCAAAAAAGATGGTACTATCTGCCTCTTGACATTTTTACTTTTTTTTTTTTTTTAACCATATCATATCTCGGGTGTGTAGGGGCTATACCGTCTCTGTCATTACAATGAGTTGATAAGAAATTCTCCCAACCCAGGAGTAGCTGATGTCAGCTGGGGTTGTTTTGCAATCTGGAAGTTTTCATTTTCCCTATTTCTTTGTCTTACATATAAAGAGCTGTCATTACCTGTAGCCCCATCTCTGCCAATAATTGTAGCTAAAATTTGCTGATTGTAATGCATACACACGAGGATCCAACATTCCTGCATAAACGCTTTTACTTCGCATTCAGATGGATGTAAGATAGGGAGAAAGGGGTCCTCAGGACTGACATTGACTTGGCGGAACTTCCCCACACGGGCCAGCAGTGTCTTGTAGCTCTTTCCGCCAGGAGTTAGATTCTCTTCTCTACTCTTTGCGTCTGGTGTGGCCTTGTGTAATCCATCATTACACAACATGGTGGGTGAGTTGTGTAAGTTCTGGAATTTAAGCCTCAAGAACGCTTGAAACTAAAAAAGTGATTTCAACATGGGTTGTTCTTTCCATATCTGCCTAGTTACTGAGTAAAATGATCATAAAAACAATAGGGAACAATGCCAATGACTTCTTATGTGCAAAAAAAGTTTATTAGAAAGCAGAGAAACAACAAAACACGAGAAATTCACTCTAGGAGAATATACAGGGTATAAATGGACCCCAGGCCTGAGAGTGTCAAATCAGTGTCACTCAGGGGTTGCAGATGAGGCCCGCCTTGCTGGAAGGATAATTTAGAGCCCCCAAAGGAAGATAAGAACGAGACATTTGGAGGATTGGGATAATTTCCTATCTGGTGGATTACAAATTAATACAGAGTTGGTCCAAATCTAAAGGAAATGATAGCAAGGGAGAGAGTTGTAAATGAACCAGAATGTGCTCACAAAGGCATTGGGGCGGTGGTGAGCTCATTGGATCTGAAACCCAGCCCAGTGGGTGACATCAGCCAGATCCCATGTGTCCTAAGGGGCCATCACAAGAAGCGTATACATCTGTGCAGACAGAAGTACATGGAGATGACGGTTACAGAGAAGGGGGCTCAGCAGTCAGGGATGGCACAGCACATGGGGCGGGGGCAGGTGGAGATGACACAGGTGGGGCGATAGCAATTGGTGGGGCAGGAGACCTGGCCACAGACTGGGCGGAGGCAGCAGCAGGGGCAGCAGCAGGGCCGGCAGCAGCTGGAGCCACAGCAGCTGGAGCCACAGCAAGAGGGGCGGCAGCAACTGGAGATGCAACAGGAAGGACGACAGCAGCTGGAGCCACAGCAGCTGGAGCCACAGCAAGAGGGGCGGCAGCAACTGGAGATGCAACAGGAAGGACGACAGCAGCTGGAGCCACAGCAGCTGGAGCCACAGCAAGAGGGGCGGCAGCAGCCGGAGATGCAACAGGAAGGACGACAGCAGCTGGAGCCACAGCAGCTAGAACCACAGCAGGAGGGGCGGCAGCAGCTAGAAATGCAGCAGCTGGGGCAGCAGCAGCAGGAACCACAGCAGCTGGGGCGGCAGCAGGTGGTCTGGCAGCAGCCTCGGCCACAGCCCTGGTCAGAGCAGACGGAGCCACAACAGGACATGGTGTTGGAGGGTGGAGGTTCTGGGTGAGTTTCCGGGAGAGTGAGGTTCGTGTGTTTGGGGGTCTCCTTGGCCCACACCTCCTTTTATACCCTGCTGAAGAGCTGCTCTCACTATGGCATTATTTCCTTATTTTTATTTACCCCACTAGAAAGCCTAATTATTTAATTGCATAATTGTGTGTTTCTGGTGAAGTACTAAAAAAATGGAAGAAACAGCACATTTCCCTTTTCTGGTAAGTTTCTGCGTTGCAATTAGAAGACTTGTCACATTTTTTTCTTAATGGGTGTCACCGATGTTTCTGACAGATGCAGTGACTTGTCACATGACTCTGACATTTTGTTTATGAATGGGACATTTCCTCCTATCTGTACTGCTCCATGAAAATCATGGAGAATGGTTCTTAAAATGCTAATCTATCTTTTGTCGGCAAAGATGAGGGGAACGCGTGCTGGTCAGGGGAATAACAATCTATGAGGAGGATAGCTGATCCTGTGTGGGCATCTTGAAGGGTCAGGGAAATAGCTGGACCCCAAGGAAGTTTCAAATTCTGTGTCAGACTTTATTTTACTGTTTCAAGCTGAGGTACTTAGCATTGGGTCTGTTGTATGGTTTTCACGATAGGCCTTAACGTTGGGCAATTTTTTATTTATCTTTTAATTGTTAAACCTTCCAAGTGGATATTTTATTACAGAAGCATTTGTTATATAAACAGTATTTGCAATTATCAGGCCTTCAGTACCATGTTTCCATGACAAAACCGAGGCTGTCTTACTCTGGGCACATCATGAGAAGCCAGGCTTCTTTGGAAAAGACAGAAATGCTGGGGAAATAGAAGGCATCGGGGAAAGAGGACGAGAATATGAGATGGATTGACTCCATAAAAGTCTATAGGAGCTGAGCAGGCCTGTTGAGGACAGGACCCTGTGGACGTCGCTCATTCATAGGGTCGCCGGGGGTCAGAGCTGGCTCAACAGCATGGAATGCACACACACATCCAAGACATTCTGTTGGGTACGATGGGGGCATGATCTTTCCTGTAATCTTTCCCTCATAATCTTTCCTGTATAAGAAGAAGACATGTATGGGGAACAGAGTTTGGCATCAATTAAAATAATGGGACTTAATTAAGTAATTAAAATAAAAATACAGTATCTGGGTAAGTAAAGGTGGAGGGAATATTAACATCTCTCATTTGTGAAGTATTCACTCTGTACCAGGCATGCTGAATATCTAATATTTGTTTTTAATCTTTAATACAACCATATAAAGCAGCAGTCAGCAACCGGTGGTCCGCGGGCCACTGATGGTCTGTCAGGTCCGAAAGGTTGGCGACCGCTGATATAAAGTACTGTGTAGTCATGTTACTCTCTTAGTGGAATAGGCAAAAGAAACACAGAGAAAGTACGAGAAAAAAAACTTGTGTAAGCCCAGCCGGCGTGGCTCAGTGGTTGAGCGTCAACCTATGAACCAAGAGGTCACGGTTCCCGGTCAGAGTATATGCCTGGGTTACGGACTCAGTCCCCAGTGGGGAGCATGCAGGAGGCAGCTGGTCAATGATTCTCTCTCATCACTGATGTTTCTATCTCTCTCTCCCTCTCCCTCCCTCTCTGAATTCAATTAAAAAAACAAAACACAAAACTCTGTAAGATTAAACAGAAAGTAAGCTTGTCTTAATCTCAGGGCAGCTGAGGAAGGTGCCAAGAGTAACACTTCCAAGCCTTTGCCGAAGCTGTCTCATCCTCCCGGAATGTTTCTTCTTTCTTGTCAGCTCTGCGGACTCCCATTCATCTGCCAGAAAGCCAGCGGACAGTGCCTCCTCCTCAGTGATACCCTTTCTGAAAAACTGCCCCATGCACATGTGATTGTTCCCTGCATTGTGCCCCTAATTTAGCGCTCTCTGTCAGTTTTTACTTCCGTCTCTCCGCCAGTTGCCATGCGGACGCCCTGATGATATGAGCGATAACGTTTACTTTGTCCCATCATGTTCCAAACAGGGCTGGGGCAGAGGACACTAGTGACCAATGTCTGTTGAGTAAACGAAGGCTTTTGATGGCATAGGAGCATGTAATGGTCCTGTTGAAATATGTAACTTTTGACTAATGGAGAAAAAAGGGAGAAATATTCCAAAGGGATCATAGTTACACTCAAGGAAAGTCACATTTATTTATTTATTATGTATTTTTTAGCTGCATTTTATGGTGAATAAAGAACCCCAAAAGATGGTTTTTTAAAAGATCATGTTTTATATTCAATCTTTGTAAAAGATTTGTTTTTAATTTTTAATACATTCAATCTTTGTAAAACTTTCTTATTATAGTCATGGGTGCACCATGACTTCAGTTGCATTTTCTCCCCTAAAGACCAGAAAACGATTAGTTGATTTGCCTAAGACTAAAAAGGTCTCTAGAGAAAACTGGTGACCAATGACATTTGACCTCTGTTGGAGGTTGACTAGTCTCTGCTGTCTGTCCAACAGGTACAGGCAAACTACAATTACCCAGGACCCACATATAAAACCTTTAAAAAAAGAGACTAAAATCACATTTAATTTTCAGTGCCCAGAACAAAGAGGTTTATTTCGGTATAAGAAAATCTTTGCAAAGGAGTACAAGAAAAAGGGTTCACTGGACTTCCACGTCAGAGGACTTAGAATCTGTGGCCCCACAAGTGATGGAGACAATCTTCAAATTCCTTAAGCACGAAGAATGGATGTCTTGGAGATAAAGGGAGAGCTGTTGGGGGAACTTAATTTATTAGAAGGTTCTGAATGAAGGAAGGAAGTTTGGACGGAAGTTAGGATGTAAACAGAGAATCAGTAGGGCTGGGGTTTGCTATGGGATCCAAGAGATCAGTTACACATTTTTTGAAAAACAGAGCCAGCATCTCTGGGGAGGGAGGCAAGGAGGAAGTGGTGTGTTTAAAGCAGAGATTCAGCAGTCAGGGATAGCACAGCACATGGGGCGGGGGCAGGTGGAGATGACACAGGTGGGGCGATAGCAGTTGGTGGGGCAGGAGACCTGGCCACAGACTGGGCGCAGGCAGCAGCAGGGGCAGCAGCAGGGCCGGCAGCAGCTGGAGCCACAGCAGCTGGAGCCACAGCAAGAGGGGCGGCAGCAGCTGGAGATGCAACAGGAGGGGCGGCAGCAGCTGGAGCCACAGCAGCTGGAGCCACAGCAGGAGGGGCGGCAGCAGCTGGAGCCACAGCAGCTGGAGCCACAGCAAGAGGGGCGGCAGCAGCTGGAGATGCAACAGGAGGGGCGGCAGCAGCTGGAGCCACAGCAGGAGGGGCGGCAGCAGCTGGAGATGCAGCAGGAGGGGCGGCAGCAGCTGGAGCCACAGCAGGAGGGGCGGCAGCAGCTAGAAATGCAGCAGCTGGGGCGGCAGCAGCAGGAACCACAGCAGCTGGGGCGGCAGCAGGTGGTCTGGCAGCAGCCTCGGCCACAGCCCTGGTCAGAGCAGACAGAGCCACAACAGGACATGGTGTTGGAGGGTGGAGGTTCTGGGTGAGTTTCCAGGAGAGTGAGGTTCTTGAGTGAGATCGCTCTTTGCCCTCTGTTGCTTTTATACCCTGCTGAGGGCTGCGGTGACCATGTGCAGGCCCCTTCTTGTTCTTGTTTATCCTCGTTGAAAATCAGTTAGTTTTAGTAAATTAGATAATTGTGTTTATCTGGTAAATGTTCCTATTTATAGGAACGGCACCATTTCCTTTTCCTGTAGTATAATGAGCTGTCCAGTTTGGTTAATGCAGGTGAATCAGCGCCCATATTTCTCTGTCCCATGTGTTTTCTCAAGTAGACCCATTACATGACACCACTTCATTGGATTTCGCAAGAGTAAATTTTTCATTTCTCTAGTTGACTCCAGAATAATATGTTGAGAATGGATTTATGGTGCTAAATCTCTGCCTTCAAAGAGTAAGTCATGTCAGGTACTGATAATAAAGTAGGTGGAAGACCCATCTTGGAAAGGGGGGGCAGTTACTTGTCTGCAATTAAGAATACTGTGATTTCTGTGCATTTCCTGGATTGTCAGTGGGGTATGAAGGATTGAAGCAAAGTTCCTATCTGTTTTTTCTTATTGAATCTATTTGAGTTAAAACAGTTTGAAAATATGGCACATCACCTCTCACCTGTTAGATTGTCAAAAATTCAAAATTTGACAACATTCTCTGATAGTGAGACTATGTAAAAACAGGCACGCTTCCACTTTCCTCAGGAAGATTGGACAATAGCCAGCAGCTCCAGGCCATATCCATCTTCAGTCCCAGGACCTGGTGCCTCATTGGAATTATGAAGCCCAGTTCAGTTGAGCGACATCAGCCCCACTCCATGTGCCCTAACGGTCCACACAAAAGGAGGGTCTGCATCTGTGAGGACAGAGGTAAATGGAGATGGTGGTTACAGAGCAAGAGGAGGCACAGCTCAGGGGGTGGGGCAGGTGGAGATGACACAGGTGGGGCGATAGCAAGTGGTGCAGCAGGAGACCTGGCCACAGACTGAGTGGAGGCAGCAGCAGGGGTAGCAGCAGGGGGGACAGCAGCTGGAGCCACAGCATGAGGAGCAGCAGCAGGTGAACACACAGCAGCTGGGGCGGCAGCAGGTGGTCCTGCAGCAGGTGCAGCCTTGGCCACAGCCCTGGTCAGAGCAGCCAGAGCCACACAGGAGCTGACCATGGTGTCAGAGGAGGAGGCTTTGGTATTGGTAGGAGTGTGAGCTGAGCGAATTTGAAGTCCCTCTGCTGTATGTCCTCTTTCATACTATGCCGAGGTGCTGTGTCCAGGTCCTGGACCATTTTCTAGTTTATTTTTCTAAATAAATATTAGTCTAAAATTAGAGCATCATGTTTTTCTGGTTAAAGATTTTTAAGATGAAGAAAAATACGATTTCTTTTTTCTGATGTGTTAAGATTTTCCAATCTGGTCTTTCTCAGCATCGTCTTTCCTACTTTCTCGTTGGTCAAGAAGGGCCATCACATGATTCAGTCACCTGTGATCTGTATATCATTCCATGATGCTGTTTGGATCAGTTATTCTCATTATGCCGAGATCTCTTTGATGTTAAAAGAGAGGCAGAATTACAGCAGGGAATAGAAAGAAGAAGGCTCACCTTTGTGAGCTACCTGTGTGCAATGAGGAAGACAGAACCTATCTGTGAGACATGGATGCTCATTAGATAGTGGACTCTCTGGCTGCCCCAAAATATGTACCAAGTACTACTTCCTGCATTCAATTGGAAATGGTTGCCAATGACTCATTGTTTTAAATATTAAAAGATACTCTCACTCAATATGGAGCAGTGTAAGCACCAAAATGAATAATGGCAGTAATGGATTTTAACTCGTTAAATAAAATCAAATCTATGGCTTCATAGTGAGACTAATTAAATAAAAATATTTTTAAAAGGAAGATGAGACAACTATCTATGACAGTAGAATATCAACTAATAAATGTAGAAGAATAAAAACAGAGTTACCAAATCATCATTTACAACCCTCATAATAAAGCTTGATTCCAATAAATATTATCAATGGATGCTATAACTGTTGGGTAAAAGTTTGACAGGTAATAGGCTATTTGCACACTTTCAAAATAGTTCTCCACCGATTATTAATTTCAAAGGAAGACATATGAGCTGTACTGTGGAGAAACTTGAGAGCATAACCTTCACCACGGGATCAACGTTAGCATTGTTAATATGGCACAAACTGACGGTGTCATTTAGATGTTAGACATATGTTAGGTAATAGTAAGGTATCAACATTTAATTTGCTAACTGTACTGTCGTTATGCAAGAAAATGTTCTTAGTCTTAGGATATAAATCTATCTGTATCTAAGCAGATCATTATCCATCTACTTACCTGCCTACTCATCTCTCTCTATAGGAGAGAAACAAAATGTGGCAAAAGGTTGAATCAGGGTAAAGTCTAATGGTATAAAACAGTTATTTGGCACAGCTCTGTATATTTGAAAAATTTCAAAAATAAAAAGTTAAAAAATATCAAAGGGGATTGGGATTGAAAATCGTTTTTTCTGCAGTATTAGTGTATTAAAAATAAATACTCTGTGTCTTTGGGGGGGAAATACAAAAGTATTTGATACAGTTTACTTTTTAGTAGCCTCTACTCCAAGATCTCTTTTTTATATAAGGTGTCCCAAAATTCACGCAAGAAGTAATTTTGGTAGAAAATACAGGTTTATAATTAAAAATTGTACATTTTTATTGATTCATAAAGTATACAATTTAGGGTTATGTATAAATAGCACATCGGGTAAATGGCCTCCACGGCTTTGCTGGCACATATGCAAAGCCGTGGTCTTCATTGGTCTTCATTGTCCCTGCTCCTGGGCCATAATTGGTACTTGGTAATGCTTATCAAATTGAAGGGATTGAAATCAAAGGGCAACAGATATTAGAATCTGATTCATTAAACCAAGTAAAATTAGGTTTTTATTTTTTGTTGTTGTTGTTAATGCTCACACAAAATTCAAATCTTGCATGAATTTTGGGACACCCTATATTTCTAACCAATGCAGTAAACTTTCTTCTTCTTGGGTCCCTGATCATATAGGACTTCTGGCAGCGTGGCTGAATAAGCTGCTATGGACAGGTCTACTTTCTGGTACAAGCGAATAGAAGTACTTTAAAAATATTTTTAAAATATTTCAATTACATAGCTGAACTTAAAGAGAAGAAAGGTTCTCACTTTCCAGTTACAAAAAGGGAACTCAAACTGCAAACAGTAGCTGATGTCCTGTGGCCTTTGGAGGATTTGGATCTAGTTACAGGCTCTCAGAATTGGGGGCTGGTAGTCAAAACCCAGGATGATGCCGGAAATGCTACCTCAGGCTGTCACAAGGCCAGATTCAGAATAAAGTTTGCATTCTTCCCTTGTAAGTAAGATGGAGACAAGAAAAACTTAGTCCGCCCACAAGGGGTTGTAAGTGGTAATGAAGGCTCCCATGAACATCTCAACCACGGAAACGTCACCAAGCTTTCTGTTTTACACTATATGCATAGTGAGGAACCTCAAGGAGAAGAACTGACTATTGCAAAATAGCGAGTGTCCTTGGACTCATCAGAAACACAAGTAAAAATCACAGCACACAGCAATTACCCCCATAAAAGTACAACTTGAAAAAGCATTAACCACAGAACAGATAACCCTCTAAGAAAACACACAGAGACTGTATGCAATGTCCATAGGGGAGATGTTATGAAATACACAGAAAATAACCCACCATAAGTAGCACAGTAGATGCAGGAAAAGGAAGTATAACCTCCAAGAATTTAGATAATTGAAGATCTGAAGGAGACTATACTAACATTAGGGTTCAAAGAGGGTCTTGAATCTGTGGCTTGAAGTGTTTCAACGGTTTTGTCAAATTGCCCATCACTGTCTCTTCATTCAGAGCTTCTGCCCTGTTCTCTCTTCCTGGGACCCCGGCTTACACATAGCTCAGACCTTTCCCTTGTACTCCACTGTCTCGTGTTCTTGTCTGTACCTTTTACCTTTTTTCTCTCTGTACTTCAGTGTGGATATTTTCTGCTTCCAGTTTGCTCTTTCTCTCTTCTATTCTGTGTGACCTGCTCAACCTAATCTATTCCGTCTAATCATTTATTGAATTCTGAATTTCAGTTTTTGAGTTTTTGAGTTCTAGGATTTCCACTGGACTTTCATTTATCTTATTTATTTATTTTTACAGATTCCAATTCTCTGATGAAATTTATTATTTTTATCTATTATTTCAAACATATTAATCATAGTTACCCTAAATGTAGTTTTTAACACCTATATAAGTATCACCTTTGAATCTATTTTTATTATCTTTTCTTTGCCTTTTGCCCTGCTTTTAGTCATTTGGTCCTTTATGTTCTGGCAAATCTGGTAATTTTTCAAATTGAATGCCAGACATTGAACATGAAACACTTCAGAGGCTTAAGGTGATTTATCTTCCACCAGAAATGATTTCATTGACTTAGACCTTAGACGCTCAATCCTGCCTACATAGGTCAGTTTCCAATGCTTTAGAACAATTGTTTCTCAGTTTTCTCCAATTCTCATAGTTAGTTTCATTGAGCGATTTGTGTGATACTAGCTGCTTTGTCATAGCTGGACGTGGAATCCTGTCCTTTAACTTTTCTAGTGGCCGCTGTCTTTTGGACCCTGCATGCTACTAGTTGTCTTCTTACTTCTCTGGCTAGTCCTTTCGGGTTGCTGTCGCTCCATTTTCAATTTACAAATGTTGGTGTTTCTTGTAGTTCAGGTCAGATTCATCTTCTCTTCACTTAACTTCCTGTGACCCAGGGCACCCTCTACAGGCCCATGGCATTAGAAACCACGTTAGATTGTCATCTCCTCTCACAGCCTTTCAGAGGGCCTCCAGCAGTCCCTGCCTCCCCTGTGCTCATGTCCTTGTGTAATCCCCTCAACTTTAGTGCGAGCTGGATACCGTGACTCACTTCAAATGAATAAATGGAATAGAGAAGTAGGAAGAGTAAGTAATTTTCAAGATTAGGTTATTATCAGAAGATTGTGGCTTCCATCTTGGGTTTTCCTCCTATTGCTCTGGCTTTCTGAGATCCCTCTCACTCTGGGGGAAGCCAGCTGCCATGTTGTGTGAGCAGCCCACACGGGGAAGAACTGAATCCTCTTGCCAACAGCCGTGTGAGTGAGCTTGGAAATGGGTTTTCCTCTGTTCATATGAATGCAGGCCTGGCCGGAAACTTCCTGCAAGCTCATGAGAGACCCCAACATGCCACTGCTGAACTTCTCACCCTCCGGAAGTGTGTGAGATAACAAATGTTTGTTCTTTTAAACTGCTAAATTTTAACTGATGCTAAATGACTAATACACATACCAATTTCATACATGTGAAATGCTCCTAGATTTTCCATGAAGACAGATTATCTGCAAAAAATGTCCTTTTTGTTTGTTTGTTTTCTTTTCAATTTTTTTTCACTTCTTTACATCTTTCTGGGGAAAAATGTACTGATACAGTGATACAGCACCCCCCCCCCCCAACACACAGACACACATACACACACACACACACATACACAAAACAAACAACAACAACAAAAAAACCCACACACAACAACCAAAAAATGTTTATGCTGAAACCAACTGAAGGCACAACCAATTCTCATTTGCCATCTCTGGTCTATCAGAAGTTCTGTGCCTTAAGTGGGGTTTGAGAGTAATGCCCCTACACAAGTTAAATTTTTTTCTCATTATCTTTATTACACATGTGTAGAATTTATGGAAGTCAAGCATATTAATGATTCAACACCACTATATACTTATTAATCCTACAACTCCTAGAATATGCATTTCATACAAAGCTTTCTAAATATTTCTCCTACTTTCACTAGCATGTATTCCTCGGAAATTTATTTTTACCTTATTTTTCCTAGGATAGTGTTCATAGGAATTTGGGAATCTTCCAGGTTTACCTAAGAACCAAACTAGTCCATTAATTGGTTTCTTGTCAGTCCCCACATTCCCCATAGAATTTGTTACCTAAGTGCTCCAGGCCATTCCGTCAAATACACATCCCAGAAAAGCCAAGCAGATCGGAAAATATTAACATTTGAGTGTTTTCCATTTTCTGCTATCCCCCAACTTCTCAGGAAGGTTGTTTTTTTCCAAAAGAGAACTATTTTGTTGTTTAATGGGTGGAGCTGAAATTAGAGAAGCTGAGAATGTAATAAATTGTGTTACATGAGAGATGTGTAAGCCTTGAGGAGGACTCTCTGGTTTTCCAAGAAAAAGATACAAGGGTAAAATGATGGATGTGGGAGGGGAAAGGAGAAGGAGAGAGAGAGAGAGAGGGAAGGAGAACGAAGGCAACTAAGAGAGGAGTGGAAAGATATGCTCTTAAAAGTCTTTAAGAAAGGTTTGCTGTGGGATATAACCCCACACATTTTAAATAAAAATCTTTATTATTCTTTAATTCTTTTGGAGTCATCTATATATTGTTATTATTTCTGGACTTGTTTGTTTGCTTTTAATGTTAATACATGTTAGGGTTTTCCTGAAGGTGAGAACAAGAATTACAAAACCTAATTCAATTGTGTGTTGGATATAATTTCCCTGGAAATGAGGACAATCATTTCAATTTTTTTCACTTCTTTATATCTTTCTGGGGAAAAAATGTACTTATACAGCATCCCCCCCCAACACACACACACACACACACACACACACACACAAGACCCCCTCCCCCCAACAACCAAAAAATGTTTATGCTGAAACCAACTGAAGGTACAACCAATTCTCGTTTGCCATCTCTGGTCTATCAGGAGTTCTGTGCCTTCAGTGGCACAGAAGAGACACAAGACACAAGAACAATGTATTTCTAAGCCAGGAAAATAGAGCTTTATTCAGAAGCAACAATAAGATACTGAATCATCCCTCTTAAAGGAAATACAAGATAGGGCCCTCTAAGGTGTTCAGATCTGAGGTTGTGACATCAGTGGCCCTACAGGCCCTGCAGGAATTTCCATATTTTGGACAGGATGACCTGGAACCCAGAAATCAAAAGATCAGGTACAGAATGTGCATAAATATAATAATTGCTTATTATAAATGCCACCTAATTTCATACTCTGGATCCACATCAGAGAAAAGTCAGCTAAACAGAGAGTTTGGCCTGAGGCTAGGATATGGACACAGAGTTGAAGGGAATGGGCAGTCCTAAGGCATCTCTGAGGTGCACAGGGTCTGCTTCTTTGATGAGCAGGATGCAGGAGAGAGTGGGCTCAGGGAAGGTGCTCAGCAGTCAGGGATGGCACAGCACATGGGGCGGGGGCAGGTGGAGATGACACAGGTGGGGCGATAGCAATTGGTGGGGCAGGAGACCTGGCCACAGACTGGGCGGAGGCAGCAGCAGGGGCAGCAGCAGGGGCGGCAGCAGCTGGAGCCACAGCAGCTGGAGCCACAGCAAGAGGGGCGGCAGCAGCTGGAGATGCAACAGGAGGGACGACAACAGCTGGAGCCACAGCAGCTAGAACCACAGCAAGAGGGGCGGCAGCAGCTGGAGACGCAACAGGAGGGGCGGCAGCAGCTGGAGCCACAGCAGGAGGGGCGGCAGCAGCTGGAGCCACAGCAGGAGGGGCGGCAGCAGCTGGAGATGCAGCAGGAGGGGCGGCAGCAGCTAGAGCCACAGCAGCTGGAGCCACAGCAAGAGGGGCGGCAGCAGCTGGAGATGCAACAGGAGGGACGACAACAGCTGGAGCCACAGCAGCTGGAGCCACAGCAGGAGGGGCGGCAGCAGCTGGAGATGCAACAGGAAGGACGACAGCAGCTGGAGCCACAGCAGCTGGAGCCACAGCAGGAGGGGTGGCAGCAGCTAGAAATGCAGCAGCTGGGGCGGCAGCATGTCTCCTGACAGCAGCCTTGGCCACAGCCCTGGTCAGAGCAGACGGAGCCACAACAAGAGTTGACCATGGTGTCAGAGGATGGAGGTTCTGGGTGGGTTTTCAGGAGAGTGTGGTTCTTGAGTTTGGATGTCTTCTTAGCACATGCTTCCTTTTATACCCAGCCGAGGGACTTCTGTGACTATGAAAACACTATTTCCTTGTTTTTGTTTATGTGACTACAAATGCATTTAGTAAATTATATCATTGCATTTTTCTAGTAAAAACTTTCATTATATAGAACACAGTTATTTCCCTCTTATCAAGTTCCCCAGTGTTCCCACATGAATCACCTTTTGTGTTTTTCCCTTGTTTGCAGTGTCATAAGATTTCACTCCCTGGGTATCATGTGACACAGGTGGGCCACTATCTCTTGTCTGTTCCTCACCCTGACATAATTATGGCAGCGCTTCTGATGGGGCTAGGTTTTCTGGTGGAAAATTTTGTGTTTCGATCAGATGGAATGCTGATAGGAAAGAAGGAAGTAAGCTCATCTTTTTGAGTTTGAGAAATAAGGAAACTTATGATTCATTGTGTTTTCTGGGTGTCCATTGAGCTAATAAAATTACTAGGACATTCCAAGCTGTGTTATTTTTCATCACCCTGATGCACTTTGAAACAGTTAGCAGTGACTCAGTGTTTTTAAATAGCAAAGAGTCATCTGGTATTGATCACTTTTGATCTTCATAAATCTCCTCTCAGGTGGGGTAGAGTAATTGGGACAAAATTTTTTTATTGGCCTTTCAAAATATCATGGTATGTCATGGTTATGCTTTATGGACATTTTCTTAAAGTCTTTTTTAAACATGCTGACCTAAAAAATCTAGTAGTTTTTGTAGTATCACTTATATTTAAGATTTTCTTAGATAAATTAAGAAGAATATAAATGCCGTATTCATCATCATACATGCATGTACACAGAAATTGCATCCATAAATGGTTTTGTAACCAATGCCTATATGATTATAGTTATAATAAGAGGTCTTCTTCAGTGCCACAGGCATTCAGGAAAAAAACTAAATCGAGGAAAGAACAAATTACCCTCATGATATTCCCTCTTCCTGCAAAGTCTCTGTGAACTCAGCATTCTCTTAGTTATCTTTTATTGGGAAGTTCAAATGCCATCTTCCTCCATTGTCTTTCTTGGCCAATGCAGAGCAAAGTTCTTCCTTCATTGACCTTCTTTTGTGCTTTGTGTATGTGTGGGTTCTATAGCATTCTCTGCCAGAAATGTATGTATATAGCTAGCTCTCTCTAGAATGTCAACTCCATTAGGGCAGTATTTTACCCATCTTTTTATCCCGCAGGCTTGAAATAGAACACATTTTTGATAAAGGAGTTTTTTTTTTAGTAAGTGAAGAGTTTGTCTAGGTCATAAAAAATGACACACGGATGTTGAGAACATGTTATTTACATATATAGACAGAAAAAGGATTCAAAAGAGAAACAAATGAGAGTAGGCATAACTCTGGCTCGTGATGATGAGAGCGGTATGTCTAGAAGGTCTGTTTTAAGAAATAGTGAGAGATATGGTGAGGTTGCTAGAATGTGGGAAGGATTGTATGTAGCCTTGAATTCCACAAGAAATTGTGAGGATCTATGAAAGGCCTTTAGGCAAGAAGTAATATATTTATTATATGTGATTTATTTTAATTTTTTATCTGCCTTTAGAAATGCCCAAATACACTTGGATTTCTGGGGAGAGATGTTGCTTAAAAGTTTTAAGTGGGGCAGGGTGGGTGGTGTGTTCACAGCATCAGGTGATAAGATGAGTATAATTATTTCAAAGAAAGAATCAGAAAAGAATTGGGCCAAATTGAAAATGGAGATATAGGAGGGTTTTTCAGAAAAGTTATAAAAGATGCCTTAACTTAACTATTTACTTATATATTTTGTAACTAGCTGTGTGTACAATTTATGACACCCACTTCCTAAAAGCCCACAATTAAAAATTTTAAAGGATAAACGGTGCTCCAAATGTCCACCAACCAGATGCTCCCTGAGCAGCATTCTTCTGGGTTTTTCTTGAGGCTTTGTACTGATAACCAGGATGCAGAGCCAAGGTTTTTTTCCCCTCTGGGGTAATGTCTTATGAAGCCAAATTAAATTACAGACCAGAATATTGAAGCAAAAGTGTGGAAAATTTATTACAAGCAGATTCAGACCTCCCGCACGGGGAGGGGGCCCAATAATGGGTTTCCCATGAAGCTTTGTGGTCTAGTATATATTGGCTACAGTCCTGCTGTGTATCTATCCATGTCATCACCTGATTGATTCCCTCAAATATTCTTGCCCAGCAACAGACCTGAACTTTCCCTGTTTCTATGCGTCAGTTCAACTTATTGTTGCAGACCCTCCCTAGCTTCACACGTCTCCCGCTTTGAGTCCAGAAACATTTTATTTTTCTGCGTGGTTGGTTCCTGTGATTAGGCTTTGCTCACACTGCTGTCCGTGTCTGCCCCTGCCTATGTTCCACCTGCCTTTGTTTCCCACTGGACCCCTGCCCTGTCTGCCTGCGTGTCAAGCTAACCCTCTCACTCTCACTAACACCCTAACACTCAACTTACGTTGGGGTGAAGCCCATTTTATATCAACCTCTATATGGTTTGTTTCTTGACACCTTAGAACTTTCAAAAAATTTTTTAGAAATAACAATCAGCTCTTAGTTACATTTATTTTTTTGGAAATATAACCCAGCTAATATGTAAAACTCTGATATACACAAATTTTGAATTTAAAATGTTTTTTATTGTACTTCAGATTATGAACCAAAAGTTATAGACCCTTATATTAGTACTAGAGGCCTGATGCACAAAATTCATGCAAGGGGCTTGGCCCTCGCAGCCCCAGCTTCATCCGGACGGTCCTTCTGCTGTTCGGTCTAAGTAGTATATTGGCTCTTTATTATATAGGATAAAAATGATATTATTGTATATATATATTGTGAGATGTTTTTGCAGCTAAGGAGGATCATTCTCACCTGAGTTTTGTTGACAAGAAAACTGAGTCTCAAAGATATCCTGCACATGTGCTCTTATGTAAGACCAAGCAAGGTGACAAAAGCCGAAAACAGGAGAGTAAAACCATCAGGAACATAGGAAACTTCAGTAATGTGAGAGGCTAAAATCATGAAGGAGTTCCCACATTAAAATACTAAAATTTTAGGACATGCTTAGAGAAAGGGATGGAGAGAGCAAGAGCGAGAGAGAGAAACATAGATATGAGAGAGAAACAGCAATCAACTACCCTCTCATCAAACCTGCAACCCAGGTATGTGCCCTGATTGGGAAACGAACAGGCAACCCTTTGGTGCATGGGACAGCAGCTCAGCCAACTGAGCCACTTCAGCTGGGCTTGCACATCTATTAATAAACAGCTTTAAAAGCACAGGCTGTGTGGCTCAGTGGTTGAGCATCGACCCCTGAATCAAGAGGTCACTGGGATTCAATTCCCAGTCAGGGTGTGCGCCTGGGTTGTGGGCTCGATCCCCAGTAGGGCTGTGCAGGAGGCAGCCGATCAATGATTCTCTCTCAATTGATGTTTTCTAGCACTCTCTCCCTTTCTCTCTAAAATAAATAAATAAATAAATATCAATAAAAAAATATTTTTAAAAGGTTTAAAATTTTTATGGAGAAGTTGCCATGGACTTTAATACACTTCCAGAAAGCTATATTTAGAAGGCACACTTAGTATTCTGAGGTAAAGTTTATTATTTAGAGAGAAAATGAGGAAGGGGCAGAGGGTGGGAGGAGGAAGTACTCCAGCTCAGTGAAACGCCTGCATTTATTAACACAACCAGTAATGGGACATCCTGCAAGTAGAAATACAGTCCAGTGAAGTTTAGGTGTCTGTATGATGTTAGGTTCACTGGAGTTTTTAAGGGACATTTCAGACATATGCCAATACTTAGAGTTCTAGAGGTCAGTGAAACAATTACACAAACTTTCTTTGTTGTTCTGTCGAACAGAACATGATACTAAGGTAGTATTCTCAACCAGGGTAGTGTTTCAATAATAGTAACAATAAAAAATGGTATTTACTGAGAGCTTACATCATGCTCCTCACCTCTGTGCTAAGTGTATTTATTCCCTGGATTATGTCTTTGAACCTTTGAAGAGCATAACGTATTATCCCCATTTCACAGAGGAAAAAAATGAGGCTTAAAGATATTAAGTAACTTTGCCTGTGTCATGCAAGGAATGCCTAGTGGAATCCTGATGCCAAGATAAGTAACTGCTCCCAAACTTACTGTCCTGCATTTCATGCGACATTTCTTAGTGTGAAGTCATGTACACACACACACACACATCAAATTAACAAATCAGGAGATTTCGATATCAGGGAAAATGGCTGTTTATTAAGAACATATGGAGACAATGTTATATGAGATCATCACATACAGTATATACTTCGGACGAGACAGTGTTGGTTCAAAAATAGATGCATCTGGGCCTCAGTTAAAACCATTTGACAAATGTGTTTTCATTTATCATTTCCTGAAATTGAACACCAACTCTGAATGCCAAATCAGAAGAAGAGTTGGAAGCTAAGCGTTCATTCCCCAGTCACTGGCTGGCTCAACACATTTTAGGTGACTCGTGAGGATATCCATAGTGTGACAGATTATAGGCAAAGATTCAGCAATCAGGGATGGCACAGCACATAGGGCGGGGGCAGGTGGAGATGACACAGGTGGGGCGATAGCAATTGGTGGGGCAGGAGACCTGGCCACAGACTGGGCGGAGGCAGCAGCAGGGGCAGCAGCAGGGCCGGCAGCAGCTGGAGCCACAGCAGCTGGAGCCGCAGCAAGAGGGGCGGCAGCAGCTGGAGCCACAGCAGCTGGAGCCGCAGCAAGAGGGGCGGCAGCAGCTGGAGATGCAACAGGAGGGACGACAACAGCTGGAGCCACAGCAGCTGGAGCCGCAGCAAGAGGGGCGGCAACAGCTGGAGATGCAACAGGAAGGACGACAGCAGCTAGAGCCACAGCAGCTGGAGCCGCAGCAAGAGGGGCGGCAGCTGCAAGAGCCACAGCAGCTGGGGCGGCAGCAGCTGGACACACAGCAGCTGGGGCGGCAGCAGGTGGTCTGGCAGCAGCCTTGGCCACAGCCCTGGTCAGAGCAGACGGAGCCACAACAGGACATGGTGTTGGAGGGTGGAGGTTCTGGGTGGGTTTCCAGGAGAGTGAGGTTCTTGAGTTTGGGGGTCTCCTTGTGGCAAGGCCTCTTATATACTGTCTGAACAGGGTGAGCTGCCCACATGTTTCCTTGTTTTTATTTACCTAGTGTTTGAGTAATTATCAGATTACACATGAATGTTTATCTGTCTAATGGTTTAAACTTATTGGAAACAACATTTTCCTTTCCAGATATGCTAAGTGCTGTCTGATTTGCTTTGCCTCTGAGTCATACCTGCGGGCGTCTCCTAGGCCACACTCTCCTCCTCCATTTAGCATGTGGGATCACACTCCTTACTCTCCCCTCGGTGTCCCCTCAGGATGGGATCTGGGCAGACATGTTCCTGGTTGTGCATTTCTTCCAGTGACTAATGTGGAGGAAATTCCATGCGCACAGTGTGGCATCAGGCAGGCATGGGACAAGAGAAGAATGACCCCTGGGTCATTTGTGAGCAATGAGGAAGGGGACCTCTGTACGTGTGTGATGTTGGTGGCCTCTATGCCACTGGAATGGGTTTCCTTAGGTGTTTCAAACTTTGGATCATGTTCTGTATCCTAAACTGTGGCAGACAATTTATCTACATGGCTCTGGTTACTACAGCATCCCACAGTTTATTACGTTGTTACTTTGCTGGCATATATGTTTGTATCTCTCTCCAGCTGATCTCTTTGTTAAAGTTTAATTTATATATTTGGCACAGTAAGAGATAAACAAACATAGCTAATAATAAAATAGAACAGTTATAAGACTACCCTATATAACAGTGATGGCGAACCTTTTGAGCTTGGCGTGTCAGCATTTTGAAAAACCCTAACTTAACTCTGGTGCTGTGTCACATATAGAAATTTTTTGATATTTGCAACGATAGTAAAACAAAGACTTATATTTTTGATATTTATTTTATATATTTAAATGCCATTTAACAAAGAAAAATCAACCAAAAAAATGAGTTCGCATGTCACCTCTGACACGCGTCATAGGTTCGCCATCACTGCTATGTAATAAAGAGATAATATGCAAATTGACCCTCACACCCTCACAAAGATGGCTGACTACAACCAGGCTGGCAGGGGGGTTAGTGAGGGACGACCAAACGACTGAACAGCAGGCTGCATGGGCGATCAGGCCGGCAGGGGCTGGAAGTTGGGGGTGACCAGACCAGCAGGAGGGGTAGTTGGGGGAGACCAGGCTGGTGGGGGAGGCAGTTAGGGGTGACCAGGCTGGCAGAGGGGGGCAGTTGGGGGTGACCAGGCTGGCAGGGGTTGCAGTAATAGGTGACCAAGTTGGCGGGGGGGGGGCAGTTGGGGGCGATTAGGCTGGCGGGGGGCAGTTGGGGGCGACCAGGCTGGCAGGGGGTGCAGTAAGAGGTGACCGGGTTGGCGGGGGGGCAGTTGGGGGCGATTAGGCTGGCGGGGGGGGCAGTTGGGGGCAACCAGGCTGGCATGGGGGACAGTAAGGGGTGACCAGGTCGTCAGGGAGGGGGCAGTTGAGGCAACCTGGCTGGCAGCGGGGGGGGGGGGGGGGGAGTTAGGGGTGACCAGGCCGGCAGGGGGGTAGTTAGGGGCAATCAGGTTGGCACGTAGAGGCAGTGAGGGGCAATCAAGCCAGCAGGGTGGGGCAGTTAGGGGTGACCAGGCAGGCCAGCAGGTGAGCGACTAGGAGCCAGCGGTCCAGGATTGTAAGAGGGATGTCCCTCAAGGTGTCCCTGATTGGAGAGGGTGCAGGCTGGGCTGAGAGGACCCCCCTGCCTCCATGCACAAATTTCATGCACCAGGCCTCTAGTGCTATAATAAAAGTTATGTGAATGTGGTCTCTCAACCAATTAATACAAATTTCTTTTTCCTTCATCACAATTTATGGATAGAAGATCCATTCTTTTTTTAAAAAAAATATTTTTATGAATTTCAGAGAGGAAGGGAGAGGGGGAGAGAGATAGAAACATCAATGATGAGAGAGAATCATTGATCGGCTGCCTCCTGTACGTCCCCTACTGGAGACTGAGCCCACAACCTGGGCATGTGCCCTAGACAGGAAGGTGCCCTTGACCAGAATTGAACCCGGGACCCTTCAGTGAGCTGGCCAGTTAGGGGTGACCTATCCATTGAGCAAACTGGCTAGGCCAGAAGATTCATTCTTACTGTAGAAATTAGCAGCCTCAGCATATGCTTTAAAAAAAAAATACTTTCTTATTAAGAACTTTCTCTTAAAAGGAGCACGTTAGGGCTTCTCTTTGGCATATTTGAATCCCCAGCGTCACTATTCTTACACTTTGGGGCACAGGTCGCGATGACCAGCAGCAGTAAGGAAGGAACACAAGCACTGCAACACCAAGAGAGTTGATATGAGCATTGAGACAACTACTGAGTGACTGACGGTGGGTAGCATGTACAGTACGGATTTGCTGCGCGAAGCGATGATTCACAGCCTGGGTGGGATGGAACAGGACAGCACAGGATTTCACCAGGGCTGCTCAGAATGGCGTGCAATTTAAAACTATGAATTGTTTATTTTTTTAATTTTCCATTTACTATTTTCAGACCATGGATGACTGTGGGTAACTAAAACTACAGAAAGCAGAATCTCAGATTCAAGGGGGAACTACTGTATAGTGAAAAGTGTATAAAACATACATGTATAATATAATAAATAATTATGAAGCAAGCATCTATCTATCCCAACACCCAGGTCAAGAAATAGGACATTGCTGTCACCAAGAGGGGCCTGGATGTGTCTTCTCTTGACCACATCGCTCTCCTTCCCCCTGATTCTTACTGTCCTGATCCTTAAAGTAATCTTTTCACTGATGTGCTTTACAGTTTTACCACCTAAGTATGCATCCTAAGCAATATAGTTTAGTTTTACATGTTTTTGAATTTTATATAAGTGGGATCTTCATATATGTATTGTGTGTTTTCATTCTCTCACTCAATATTATGTAAGAGTTATGATAGGCAGCCCCTTAGGTGGCCCAGCGATTTCTACCTCTTGGTGTTCATGGTCTTACATATTTCCCTCCCTGTGAGAAAATTGCTTCTAATCAACATCAAGTGACTAAGTTACAAAAGATGGTGACTAGCCAGATTTCTCTCCCTCACTGGCTCTGAAGGAAGTAAGCGGCCGGGTGGGAGAGAAGTATGTGGCAAAGCACTGAGAACAGTCTCTACTGACAACCAGAGAGAACTGCGGCTCTGACTCTAATGGCCCTCAAGGAACTGAATCCTGTCACCAACCACATAAGTGAACTTGGAACTGGATTCCTTCCTGCTCAGTCAACACTTTAGATGGGACCCCAGTGCCAGCTAACACCTCAATTGCAGAGTTGGGCAAGTGGATGAAATGGAGGGGTCAGCTGAGCTGCATCTGGATGCTTGACCCACAATATAAATGAGTTAATGAGATTACTCCTGTAGACAACTGGGGTGCAATCCCACTGAGGCCCTCTGGAACCTGGAACAGCATGCCCCCACTAGGGAAAAAAGAAGCTACAGCATTGACCAAACACTCCCGTCCATTGGTTGAACAATGTTCCCAGAGACTTTAACTCTGACTTGTGGCCTGCCCAGAGCTTGCTTCTTCATCCGCAGGAAGTTCTCAGACAGAAAGTTCCAGGTGCTTGCTGTAGGAAACCATCTTCCTATAAGAGAGTGAGGATGATGTGGGACTAAAGTTAGATATCCTGAAATCACCTGCGATAGCCTGCTCTCTGCAGAGAACAACAGAAGAGCGGACAGATAAGAATGCTGATTCAAGAAGGAAAAATGAGACATAATACTCTTGTATTTGTATGCTTGGGAAATTAAGATTTATTTAAGATTTGGGGACATCTTCATATGAGAAAATGTGGTAAGGAAGAAATATATCAATTGCGATGACAGTCATTGAAGAATTTCAGAGAAAATTCAAGCTTTCTATTCATTTAGGAGAGAGATAGTAACATGGGGGGGGGCATTATATTTGGAGGCCACAATCAGTTAAAGAATCAGTTGAAACTGAGTTTTGACAATAGGAAGCTCATGACTCAGTTCAATTTGGACTACATCAAGAAGAGCGGTTGATGAAAACCAGGTGGACACAGGTCACGATGATCAGCAGCAGGAACCGCTAGAGCAGACTGGGCGGCAGCAGGTGGTCTGGCAGCAGGTGGGGCGGCAGCAGGTGGTCTGGCAGCAGGTGGGGCGGCAGCAGGTGGTCTGGCAGCAGGTGGGGCGGCAGCAGGTGGTCTGGCAGCAGGTGGGGCGGCAGCAGCTGGAGCCACAGCAGGAGGGGCGACAGCAGCTGGAGCCACAGCAGCTGGAGCCACAGCAGGAGCCACAGCAAGAGGGGCGGCGGCAGGTGGTCCTGCAGCAGGTGGTCTGGCAGCAGGTGGGGCGGCAGCAGCTAGAGATGCAGCATGTAGGCCTGCAGCAGCTGGAGCCACAGCTGGAGCCACAGCAGGAGGGGCGGCAGCAGGGGGTCTGGCAGCAAGTGGGGCGGCAGCAGCTAGAGATGCAGCAGGTTGGCCTGCAGCAGCTGGAACCACAGCTGGAGCCACAGCAGGAGGGGCGGCAGCAGGTGGTCTGGCAGCAGCTGGGGCGGCAGCAGGTGGTCTGGCAGCAGCCTTGGCCACAGCCCTGGTCAGAGCACACGGATCCACAGCAGGAGTTGACCATGGTGTCAGAGGGTGGAGGTTCGGAGTGAGTTTTCAGGAAGGTGGGTTGGAAGGTTTGGAAGTCTGCTCGCCCCAGGTCCCCTTTTATACCCTGCTAAGGGCTGCTGTCATCAGAAGCTGTGCTCTTTCCTTGTCCTGTTTGTCCTAATTAACAGGTGATTAGGAAATTAGCCAGGTTTGTTTTCCTGGCTAACCTTTCAAGATGGATGGAAAACATTGTTTCCTTTTCCTGATGGGTTAGGATTCCTCACTTCAGCTCTTCCTGGATCTTCTCTTATGTGTCTTTCTTGCTTCATCTTCCTTAAAGAAAGCTGTCATGTGATTTATGCATTTAGATCATGTATGTGTGTCTCATGTTGCACAGCCCAACATGTCTGCCTTTGGGTGATAATAAGCCACATTCCTTTTGGTGACTTAGGGGGATACAGCTGCATTTTAGTTTGATGTCTCATTCATTATGGGTCAGGTGGGCAGAGAAGTGTTCAATGTGAATCAGGGCATCGCTGGAATGAGAATAGACTCTTAGGATATTTCCTCTCCCTCCTGTGAATTGCGGCCCATTTTCTAGACTTTCTGATGAGAAACAAATAACTGGTGTTGGAGGAAAAACTAAGTCATCTAATTTTGATGTTTCTTCTTTGTCTTCAGCTTTATTAAGGTATGTGTAATATACAAAAACAATTACACGTCTAATGTATACATTCTGATGAGTTTGGACTTATGCATGCACCATAATACCATTTCCAAAATTAAGGTAAAAACCTATTCTTCACCCCTAAAGAGTTTTTCTGTCCCTTTGTGTTTTGTGTGTGTTAAAAACACTTAGTATGAGATTTACCCTCTTAACAAGTGTATCGTACTATTGTTAACTATAGGCACAATGTTGTACAGCAAATTTCTAAAATTCATTCATCTTGTATATCTTTAACTCTGTACCCATTGAACAACAACAGCCCACTTCCTCCTCCCCCAGGTCCTAAATTTCACCATTTTATTCTCTGCTTCTATGAATTTGACTATTTTCAATATCTCAACGAGTGGAGCATGCTGTATTTGTACTTCCGTGACTGACTGACTCCACTTAGCGTAATGTCTTTTGAGTCCATTTATGTTGTCGCACATGGCAGAATTTATTTAAGGCTGAATAATATACACTTTCATCAATGTGTCAGTGTTGGCATTCAGAGTTTAATGGCAACAGTGGTCAGCAGTAAGTGTGGCTTATCTTGAAGTTAATATTGTACACATCTATGTCTTTTTCATTAGAAACTGCTCCAATCTTTCTTATAGATTTGCAGTAGGTAGAGTATAGACCAAGGGTGGGCAAACTTTTTGACTCGAGGGCCACAATGGGTTCTTAAACTGGACCGGAGGGCCGGAACAAAAGCATGGATGGAGTGTTTGTGTGAACTAATATAAATTCAAAGTAAACATCATTACATAAAAGGGTACGGTCTTTTTTTTTTTTTTTAGTTTTATTCATTTCAAACGGGCTGGATCCGGCCCACGGGCCGTAGTTTGCCCATGGCTGGTACAGACCAACAGTTCTCAAGCTCTTCTTCTACTTGATAACAGGTATACTGATGATGGTACACCTCGGGAAGAGGCGCTGAGAGGAAATATAATGTTAGGATGTGTGGGTGGTTCAAATCAGTTCTTTTCCCAATTAAAAAAAATACACACACACACACACACACACGCACACATATTTTCAGAGATGAAGGGGGAGAGAGAGAGAAACATCAATGATGAGAGAGACTCATTGATCAGCTGCCTCCTGCATACCTCACACTGGGGATCGAGCCTGCAACCTGGGCATGTGCCCTGACCAGGAATTGAACCGTGACCTCCTGGTTCATAGGTTGGTGCTCAACCACTGAGCCACACCACTTGGGCCCAAAATTTTAAATATAGTTAGAACTACCCAACTCATGTGCTATGTGCATTAATAACTACTCATCTAGACCCCAAAAAGGCTCTGACCTTTCATCCTGCGGGATTTAGTGTCTTGTGCAAGGGTGTCTAGGGCTTTTTGAACCAGATTCTGTCATTCACATATTCAATCTCCCTCAACTTCATGGCCTCCAAATATTTTGATGAAAAGACTCTCATTTTATTTCTCATTTGCATATTTTATAAGAAGACTCTCAACCGAGTTGAGATGTCCTTGGCTCTGTTCTCAGGATGGCTAGTCCAAGACAGGAATGGCTATCCAGGAACTATCCTAAAGTTGAAGCTGTCACCTATTTGGTAGAACATAATACAAAACAAACAAACAAACAGATTTTATAGTAAGTGTCCTACTCCCTCCCTGACTTTCCTTGACTCCAAGGGGAAACTGTATATAAGGAGCTAACAGATGATCTGTCAGTGCCCTCATTTTTTAAACACGAATCAGCTAGTCATATGGTTGCTGTACGTGAGAGATTGACTTTCCCCAGATTACTATAATAGACTGATAAAGCCTAAGTGGGTGTCTCATAGAAACAAATTTGAGTCACTGTGGTGAATATGGTTTATGGAATGGCTGCCTCCAAGGATAGTCAGTGGAGAGCTTGAACTCTAAGCTGGTTTTACAGAAGAAGAATCAATGACATGGGTTTGAGGACCCCTCTCTACCGTAAGGGATGTATAGGTCGAATAAAACCAAACTCCTCATGATGCTTTTTTTTCTAGCCAGTTTCTACTTCTGCCCTGGCTCTGATTTTCAGGTGGACACCCCCGGGTGCTAACAACCTGAGCTCCTGGCGGGACCTCGGCTGGGAGGTGTGTCTGGTGTGCTGACCCTGTATTGTCATAACGCTGGTGAACCAGATACAGCACTTTTTTTTGGAGAAGTCCTGAGCCTCTTCTTCTGTCACAGAAGATGGGAGAACAAAAGCAGATACCAAGTTGCTGTGGGGGCAGAGGCCCTAGAGAGCCTCATCATGGAATCCAAAAAAACCTCGAAGAGTTCCATGTGACCTCCTGTTTTGGGAAACGGTTGTCCCCTAGGAGCTCTGATGAGTGAGGCCTACTGATAACTCAGTAGAGATAATTTTTATTTATATTAATTTAGTATATATTTTTCTTTATGGTGTGTGTGTTCCTTGATAAGCTTAAAATTATGTTTCAAAATGCCTCATGATTTCTTCTAGTATATTAACAGTTTAATTTTTATATTGAGTTTTTCATCCAAATGAAAATTGCTTTGGTTTAATGAAGTGTTAACTCTCTCCTTTCTTTGCCCAGAAATTAACGAGCTGACTTACATGATTTTTATTATTATAGTACAAACATTTTTAGTCTGTACTGAGTTTCTATAGGCTGTTAGGTCTATTCTGGAGTCTATTCGGCAGCACACCCCACTATGTGAATATCCCTGGGTTGGAGGGTCTTTAATGTGATTCTCAGTGTCTTAGATGGAGGGCCCTCAGGGGCAGACCCCAGCACGAGTTTCAAATAAAATAGTCTTTTAGGAAGATCATCCTAAAAGGCACTACAGGGAACCTGGGAAGTGACCGGGGAAGGGACAGAGGCCAGTGTAGGATGATGGAATGAGCAGCTTACTCCTGTGGGCAGCTGGGCGTCACTCCACCAAGGACCTGTAGAGAGTGGTACTCCTTGCCCCACCTGAGAGGAAAGAGCTAGAGTATGTATCCACTGCACTCATCACTGGCCGAGCATTGATTCTACACACTTGGACCCCCGGCCTGCCTTGAGCTGGCTCCTTCATCCGGGGAAAGTCCACAGGCCTACAGATCAAAGTGTTTGCTGTAAGAAACCACCTTCCTTTATTAAAACAAGGATGCTGAGGGCATAGAGGGGGGCATCCTGAAATCACCTGCTGTCCTCTGCTCCCTGCAGAGATAACAACAGAACAACTGACAGCTAAGGATAGCAAGTCATGAGGAAAAATGATCAGACATGATACTCTTGTATTTGTATGCCTGGGAAATTCAGATTTATTTAAGATTTAGGGACATCTCCATATGAGAAAAGACGGCCGGGAAGAAATATATCAATTGGGATGACATGTTGGTTGAAAGATTTCAGACAAAATTCAAACTTTGTGTTCATTTGGGAGACAGGTAGTAACATGGTGGGTGGGGGCAAGAAGGAGGAGAGGAGACTGTGTATTTGGAGGCCACAGTCAATTTAAGAATCAGTTGAAACAGGTTTTACAATTGGCCTCTCATGACTCAGTTCAGTTAAACTGCATCAAGAAGATTGGCTGACGAAAACCAGTGGGCACAGTTCAGGGCAGTCAGCAGCAGGAACCACTAGAGCAGACTGGGCGGCAGCAGGTAGTCTGGCAGCAGGTAGTCTGGCAGCAGGTGGGGCGGCAGCAGGTGGTCTGGCAACAGATGGGGCGGCAGCAGGTGGTTTGGCAGCAGGTAGGCCTGCAGCAGCTAGAGCCACAGCAGGAGCCACAGCAGGAGGGGCGGCAGCAGCTGGACACACAGCAGCTGGGGCGGCAGCAGGTGGTTCTGCAGCAAGTGGTCTGGCAGCAGGTGGGGCGGCAACAGCTAGAGATGCAGCAGGTAGGCCTGCAGCAGCTGGAGCCACAGCTGGAGCCACAGCAGGGGCGGCAGCAGCTGGAACCACAGCTGGAGCCACAGCAGGGGCGGCAGCAGCTGGAGCCACAGCAGGAAGGGCGGCAGCAGCTGGACACACAGCAGCTGGGGCGGCAGCAGGTGGTCTGGCAGCAGCTGGGGCGGCAGCAGGTGGTCTGGCAGCAGCCTTGGCCACAGCCCTGGTCAGAGCACACGGATCCACAGCAGGAGTTGACCATGGTGTCAGAGGGTGGAGGTTCGGAGTGAGTTTTCAGAAAGGTGGGTTGGAAGGTTTGGAAGTCTGCTTGCCCCAGGTCCCCTTTTATACCCTGCTAAGGGCTGCTGTCATCAGAAGCTGTGCTCTTTCCTTGTCCTGTTTGTCCTAATTAACAGGTGATTAGGAAATTAGCCAGGTTTGTTTTCCTGGCTAACCTTTCAAGATGGATGGAAAACATTGTTTCCTTTTCCTGATGGGTTAGGATTCCTCACTTCAGCTCTTCCTGGATCATCTCTTATGTGTCTTTCTTGCTTCATCTTCCTTAAAGAAAGCTGTCATGTGATTTATGCATTTAGATCATGTATGTGTGTCTCATGTTGCACAGCCCAACATGTCTGCCTTTGGGTGATAATAAGCCACATTCCTTTTGGTGACTTAGGGGGATACAGCTGCATTTTAGTTTGATGTCTCATTCATTGTGGGTCAGGTGGGCAGAGA